CCAATAGTTTTAGTATATACAAAGACCTATGTAACCATTGCCACTAACTTCAGAACATTTTGATCTTCCCAAATGAAGCACCATACCCATTACTTCTCATTTCCCCTTTCCCAGATCCCCACACCCGCGGATCTATGTTCATTTTCTATGGATTTGCTTATTCTGGGCATTTCATATAATATAATCATACTGTCATCTTTTGTGACTGGTTTTTTCTCTTTTCTTCCAGTAGCACCTGTTATACAATGTGAGGAATCTCGTTGTCGTATTTCTATACATGCATATAATACACTTTGATCGTATTCAGCCCCTCTATTACTCTTATCCCCTCCCCACCCTGATGTGACTGGATATTTCACTTAACATAATGTTGTGTCCATGCTGTAGGATTTATAGTACTCATTCCTGTTTATGTCTGCAAAACGTTCCTTTGCATGGCTAGGAGGCAGGTGGTAGTCATTTGCATTGTTTCCTCTTTTTGCTAGGAGCAATGCTATGAACATTCATGCATGAGTTTTTATGTGATGTGTATTCTCATTTTGCTTTATTTTAACAGCTAGGAATGGGATTGCTGGGTCACATCTCAACTCAATATTTAACATTCTGAGGAACCAAGGAACCTTTCGAAAATGACTGCACTATTTTGTACTCCCATAGCAGTTTTAAAGGGTTTCAAATTTATCCATATCCTTGTCAACACTTGCTGACAAGTGCAGAAATGCCTATTCAGATCCTTTGCACATTTTTTAACCAGGTTATTTTTCTATGAATATTGAAGTGAGATGGGAAACCACTGGAGCAGAGGAGTGGCATGATCTGAGCTATACTCTACAGGCTCATTCTGACCGCTGTGTTCCTAAAGGAGGAAAATGGCAAATGGTAGCCAGTGAGGCTAGTGCAATAGTCTAGACACAATAGTGTCTTGAACCACAGTGGTAGATAAAAGTGAAGATACAAGCGTTTTGATTGTGGGTACATTTTGAAGCTATAAGCAATAAGATTCTCTGGCGGATTCCATGTGGAATGGAAAAAGTGAGAAGTTCTGAAGCACTCTGAGTCTTCTAGCCTGAGGAACTGGAAATACAGGGAGAATCAAGAGCTTGACTTTGGGCAGGAGTGTTGGCTCAAGCAGTTAAGCACCTACCTAGCAAGCACGAAGCCCTGAATTCAAGTCCCAGTGCTGTCAAAAAAAAAGACCTTAACTTTGGCGATGCTGACTTAAAAATCCAAACTAAGCATCCACGTGGAGAGGTCACGCTGGCAGGTTGAATATACAATTTTAGAGTTTAGAGAAGTCCAGATTAGAGATTAAACTGTGTGAATCACCTGGTACTTAAAATCATGAGACAAGGCTGGTGGAGTGGCTCAAGTGGTAGAGTACCTGCCTAATAAGGGTGAGGCCCTGAGCTCAAACCCCAGTACTGCCCCCAAAAAAATAAAACTATGAGACAGCATGAAAGCATCAAGTCAATGAGAATGGAGTAGGAAAGATTTTTGTTGAACAAATAAAGTTTATGCCTTAATGTATGATATACACACATTATTTATTATATAAACTTCAAATTAAATTTGTTGGAAGTATATTAATCCCGAACCTTCTCATGCCATCGGTGGCCCTCATCAACGTTTTATATGACCCCTCGCATCTTTATTTATAGGTCTTAGGTCAAAAAAGTCCCATCTCCAAAATGTGTGTCTGCCTCCAACCTTCAGCTTCCCTGTTGAATAAGCTATAGGAAAAGAAACAAATGTTGTTGGCCAGGGCTTGGTGGGGCCCCTCTGTTTCAGAGCCTCTGGCTACACGGTCTCTGGAGGGTGACAGAAAATGTCCCTAATAGAAAACATCATGCCCAGGCAAAGTGCAGTTACAGAGGTACCCTCAAGTGTCAGCCACTGGGACTCAGACCTAGGTACCACTGTGAGGCTCAACGCAAATACGAATGTGGTAACTTGAATAAATCAAGCATCATATTAAAGCCTGTGTTTAAAGCTCATTTGATTTCTTCCCATTGGTGGTAAGTGGGTTTTAGCAAAGCGCTGTCAAAAAAACCACAAATGGTGAGGCAAGCAGCAAAGGCTGGAAGTGCTAGAGAACTCTGGATAGGTCAGAGGAACAAGCACACAGTTTTGGAAAGAAAGATCTAAGAATCTAGGGGTATACATTTTCTCACCTACAAAGGAAATGAAAGTGTCGAGACAGCAGCACAGGTACATTTATGTTTTAAATTATAAAGTGAAATGATTGTCCATCAGTGGTAAGTAGATTTTAGTAAAAGCATTGCTAATTAATAAATAATAATTACTAACATGGTTTTATTATTTATTTGGAGAAAAAAATAAACACTTAAGTTTAATATCTAATAATTAACTTGGAAGTATGTGAAATAGCTATTATATCCAGGTTTCGTAAAGAGATAATCAAAATTGATGAGACACTGTGCAAGGTCTCCAAAGCGCGCTCTCTTTCAAATGGGCATCTTAAGATTAAGACATCTGGTCTACTATACGTTTAGTATTGAAGACTGATAACTGTTTCAAAATAGTCACCTATGCAATTTCCTTGGTAACTGTTTTTTTTTCCTTACATTTTATAGTGACATTAGCTCTACTCTGCTTCTAGTACTTTAACTGGAGTTTGAAAAAACTAACTCAATTTCTTTACAATCTAGTTGTCTAAATCCACTTGTAAACCTCAGGATCTTCCCTGAACGTGTCATGAATAAGGACACGTTATTCCTTAAGCAGTGCTTTACATTCCTGCATCCTTTTCTGTTACCCCAAAGGACCCTTCAGAATATGCTTATTACTTTTCTTAAAGTGCAGCACATTCTTGATTTAGCCATGCTCTCTTCCCGATATTCCACCTCTACCCTAGAGAATGTCAGCCTCAGCAAAAGTTGTCTTAAGGGCCGGGATTCCTTCCAGTCAGCACAACATTCCTGAACTGCTTCTCTCAGCTACAGTAAGGGCAGGCTCCTAACTAGTCAGTCACAGTAAAATCATCCTGACAAAAACGCTGAGAAAATAAATCTGCTAATCCCCTTTCCAAACACAATGTGTCTCAAAGTAAAGCAGAAGCGTTTTCATTCAATAGTGTACATGAAAGCCTTTGTTGAAGTGTGACATCTTATTTTCAAAGTAACATTGTTACCACATATGTATCATGCATCCTAAAGCAGTCTCCGGGTCTTGCACATCACAGTTGGAGTTACGCACACCACTGCCCTACCCCACTGGCATGGCTATTTGAAAGTAGATTATAACTCATGAGCTATTTGTACTGTTGGCATATTTTGCAAATAAGGTACTTTATGAGACAGAATGGAAAAAGGAGAATTGAAACGCACAACTTATGTTCATCCATATAAGTAGTGCTTCCTTGCTATGAATTACTATGCTTGGAAAATGCTAACATCTTCAAAAACATTTGGGATACATTAGGATACAAAATGTGAATTTTGCAAACTTTGAAAAGGCACATTTTTGTAACATCATCTGAGCATTTCCCTGAGAGTACGGGATTATTCTTAACATATTGAAATTTTTTAGCCTCTAAAAGCATCATCAAGGATGTCTCTCAGGGGTAAAGACTTCTGGAGGACTGCAAGAAATATGTGGGTTCCTTAGTAGAGGAAAAGAATCAACTACGAAAAGTAAGACCAGCTGAGAACTTGCCCTGAGGAAGGGATAAGCTATGATAGGGTTGTCCCTATCCCAATATACTTCTATCCTTCTATACATTGCTGGATTGTTGTCATTTACTTGGAAATGCTGCCATCCTCTGTGAAAGAGAGGCTGAGGAGGCATCTGTCTACAAATCTGTAGTTGCAAGACTCAGGGTAGCTACATATATCAACTCAAGTTTGAGTTTGGGGAGGATCATCAGAAGTCATTCGTTCTTTCTGCAAGGAAGTTTAATCAGGTTGCTTTCTTTCCAATAGCACATGGTATCAACTTTACTTAAATTACTGATCATGGGAGGGGGAAAGTGGGTAAGGTTAAAATAGGAAGAACCTAAAGTTGGTAGGGGAGGAGGAAAGTTCCCAGTTGGAAGAGCAGGCAAGCAAAACTCCTAAGAGTGTACCTGGACCACAAAGGCATTAGGAGGTGGAAGGTAAGGCAAAAAATGAAAATTTCTATCGCTCCTCCAAACAATTCAGACTATCCTGTTCCTACAACACAAATCTCAGGCAGGTACCTTCAGTATGGCAGGTCAGCTATACCAGGGTCTAGCCTGCCTCCAGAGGCTTAGCCTGGGAACTCAATCACCAATTCATAGTATCATTGCTATGGGAAATGTTTCAAAGTTTTGCTATAAACCAGTTGTTTGGAATATGATAAGGAGTCCCTTCATAAGAGGTCTTGCTTGTGAGTAATTTTTGAAGCATATTCTCAGTTTTAGAATGTAATCAGTACGCTAGGAATTTCCAAATATATTCTACAATATATAGGGGTGGAAAGGAACATTTATAAGGAAAAATGTCCAACATTTGTGGCACCAGGACAAAACTTCTGAATTAACCATTCATATATGGCAATACTTCTGACTGATACTTAGTATTTTTTTTCACAATGTCAAGAGTCTTGACGATGTTATTTAAGTGATGCTTAGGCACTGCAGAATTCACATCTCTCCCTGCAAACACACAGCAAATCTAATAATCTTCACTTTAAATACTCCTTATGCATTGTGGAAATATAATCAAGAGAGAATGCATTAAAGTTTACACATTAAGGTTATCTTGGTTATGTGAAATATGTGTAAGCAACTAAGACACTTTTGCAAAAGGTGGGATAAATTGATCGCTATTGCCATCTGAGGGAAAGAAAAGCTATTACAAGTCAACTAGACACTCAAAACAGCATCCCAAAAATTACTGCTATTGTTCTAAGACAGGACAGATTGTTGCTCAAAACAACCCATTTTAAAACATTAAGAACTTCTCACTTATTATCTTTTAAGCAAGGCAAAATCAGAATAGACTTTTAAAATTAAACTTTTCTTCAGTGGTCAAAGTAAAGTTTATTATAATAAAGTGCAAGTGTCATGATTAAAAATGCTGATTAAAATTATAAATAGTTTTTCTAACATAAATGCTGTATATAACTTTAACAATTCTATATGTACAGAGAACATTGAAAGCATAAAATCACACACAACCAGATAATATCATTGTACATAATCCTTTTAGACCTCACTTTTACTTTCTGGTCCAGCACCACACCAACACATGAAGGTATAATTACTCAGATCACAAACCTCAAAATGGAAGTGTTTTGAATGTCTGTCAGTTATCATACATTAATGCTTAAAGTCATTGGTTGTATTCTGATCAAATGGTTCTATTTCTCATAGCTCCTTCTCCCAAAAGGTCTTAGATGAAAGATGAGCTAGAAAAACCATGATTACAGGAACTGACATGATGTACATTCCCAACGATTCATTTAAAGGCAGCATAAAATTTTATGTGAATGACAGTAAGTATATCAACACATAATAAAATCCAGCTGTTCCCGTCTGCTTGCTCACATGACTGCCATAGCTCTTTGGGAAGGAAAAGCCAGTGCCATCAAGAAGTAAGAGCAAATCAGAACTGCTGAGGAGTGAGGGGTGGAGTGACATTGGGATGGGACTGAGAAGAAGCGTGGGATTTTAAAGGGAACTGAAAAAGTGTTACCTACTCTTCCCTCCTACAAAAGCCTAGACTGGTTCCAGCCAAGCCTCACTCCCCTGACTTCCAGTAGGGCTCTTGGGTTATTACGCACCCCAGCACTGTTAAAAGAGCCACTGGCTTTCAGAGGACATGAGGCTCTATCTGTTCCCAACTGAGAACACTTTCCACAATTTTAAGGAATAGCCTATATTATAGGTACGAACATTTCATAAACACCAGGGAGAATCTGAACTCATTCTCAACATGAGGATAGGTGAGATAAATTTTTACAAATGAGCAGGTAACACCCAGAGGGTTAAATGGTTGAGTCATGAGGAAGACAAGGAAGCTAGGTGTGATGTTTATTCCTCTATGACAAAGTTTCTCCAACTTTAGTGCACATTATGGTAAACTTGGATCTCATCAAAACATCCTGGGAGAAGGTTTGGGATTCTGCATTTCTAATAAACTCCTAGGAGATGCTGATGCTCTTGATCTGTGGACCACATTTTGCAAGCAAGGGTCTACAACACACAGAGAGAGCAAACTCTGTCCTTCTGGGCCATAAGAGACCTGTTCAGTGTTCTCTGCCTACCCAGGCAAAAAGGTTTAGATGCCCTGCGTAAGTGAGCAGCTGTCTACTAGACTGGATTAATACATTTCCTGAAAGCATCATGACTATGTGAATAGCCAAACAAATAATGTAATTCAACATGAGTAAATGGAGAGGTCTATTTTCTGGGAATAAAACTAATCTCTTACTTATGAAGGTTTCTTTAAATTGATCATGATAGAAAGGTATAAAAAACCTCAGCATATTAATTTCCATAGTAAATGCCACAGTGCACACATATACATATAGTACAAAGTCTAAGAAATCAGAAAAGTGCTACCACTGCTCCCAGCTAAAATCATCTCCTCTTCCAAATATGAGGAAAAAGCCTTGAATGGTAAGGAAAATGACAGCATTGCCCGCCAACACAAGGCCACAGGCTCCCCATTTGATCTGAAACACAAAAAAGAAGGGTTAAATGCTTACTTCCTTCATTTTGAACTCTTCACAAATCTGTTATCTTCTGCATTAGAAACCTCTAACGAAATATGACACGATGCTGCTAAAAGACTTCCTAATGTAATAGATGGAGGACAGTGAGCCATTCACTTGTTAGTCTAATTGCTTCTGTGATGGCTGTTAATTAAATCTAGTATCATCCCTAACATTTTCCCTATCAGACGTATTTCTCTATTTGTTTTTAGTTGACAATGACTGCCTTAAGCAAAATACATGCAGCAAGATATGAATGACCCAATTACAGTACTGGGCACTGAAATTTTCACATGCATCGACTTCTTTCACAGGAAACAGGAACTGGAGAGTTACCAATTTGCTTCTTTTCTAGGCAAGAAAAAACTTTAAATAATAATTTGCATTCAAAGGAAACAGCTTTCCAGCATGGCAAATGGTTACACAAAGGCACAGTGGGGGTGATAGTACCATCTAGTGGGCAATTTTTGCTTCAATTTAACCAGTGGAAACATTCATGAAAGTTTCATCCCAAAGCATGATGACAGTATTGAATAGGAAAAATATAAATATTTACATCAAAACTTAAGAAGTGCTAGTCCAAGGCACAAGAAGGGTTTTACATGCAAAACCCTTCATTGCTTCTCTGTCACCTGATGAAAGTCTAATCTGGCATGGCATTCAAGATTCTTGCTCATCAGTCTTCCTCATCCTCTCTGGGCCTACTCCTTTTATGCTTCATCATATTGGAATGTTCTTTACCCCATACGTTGCATTGTCACACCTGGCTGCTATTCCAGATCATAGCCTTCTCTACCTAATCAAACCCTATTTATCGCTACCAACCCCTGCCAAACGCCAGTCAGAGTCTCTCTTTTCTTGCTGTTACTATGGCATTCTGATGTCTTAATTATCACATGTAGCCTATCTGCAGCACACTTACCTATTAGGACAGTCTCTGTGTACTTTTGGAGCAGAGGCCTGTGTTTTACAAATAGCACATGCTCCAAAGATATTTGAATACCAAACATATAAATGAAATTTGCACGTATCTGATATAATGCCCCAAACTGAAATAAAATGTAGTTGGGCAAAATAAAAACAAAGAGTAAGAGAGTAGGTGAATAATTTTTTCAGAGAATTGAAAAAAATTATACCCACAATGTGTGTTCTGGAGGCAAAAAAGGAAATTTCTATATTGGACATGAAGACATTGTCTTAGTCGGTGTACCTTCTAGTAGCTCCACAGACACTCCTCAATATATTCTTGATGTATTGAGAATTAAGTCCATGATCCCACATGCAAAGGAATTTAATATGATCTTCATTTTGTAATTACAAAAGTGTTGCTCTATGGTCTTTCTGGATTGCCCTATAACTTAACAGGCAGGGGTAGAAGAACAATCTCAAAGAATACTTAAAAGCAGAAAGAGCAGGAAGCATACGTTTAGGCTAAAAGTTGTAAGAGAAACAAGGAAAGCATTCTGAAAACACGGCTGAGATACTGATAGGAAGGATCTAACGGAGAGGAAGAAGGGCAGGACACATGGTTCAAGCAGCAGAGCGCCTGCCTAGCGAGCACTAAGCCCTGAGTTCAAACCCCAGTACCACCAAAAAATAAATAAATAAAGTAGAGGAAGAACCCAGATGCTGGTGACTCATGCCTGCAATCCCAGCCCCTAAGGAGGCTGAGATCAGGGGGATCAAGGCCAGCTGGGGCAAAAACTACGAGACCACCATCTCAACCGATAGCTGGGTGTGCTGGTGCACACTTGTCGTGGGAGGCTGAGATCGGGAGGACCACAGTTCCAGACCAGCCCAGACAAAAAAGCTCACAAGACTTCATCTCAGGGGGAAAAAAGTTGGGGATGGTAGTTTGTGTCTGTCATCCCAGTGATGGCATGAAGCATAAAAGAAGAGGGCTGTGGCCCAGTCTAGCCCACACAAAAAGCTAGATATTATCTCAAAAATAACCAGAGCAAAAAAGAGCTGGGGTGTGGTTCAAGTGACAGAGCACCTACCTAGCAAGCTGAAGCCCTGAGTTCAAACCTCAATACCACCAGAAAAAAAAAAAAAGTAGAGGAAGAGAGAAACTAAAAATACATCTGGCTTTGACTATAAAGTCTAAGCAATGAAAATAAAATTAAGGGTTCAGACACAGACCTCCTTTGAAATAAACTCATGACAGTTGAGCAAAACAATGGGCAACAAAGCTTACCACAGACACTCGAGCAAGAATAACAGGAAATCCAAAGGCAGAAACAACAATCCCAGTCGTGAAGAAATATGCCAGCTCCCGGCAGGCACTACTGGTGGCATCGGAGTCATATGTGGCTCTTTTGGCAATGAAGTGGGGGATGGGGGAGATGACGTAGAAAATTAGGACGAACAAGGGCCAGTAGACACTGTCAGGCGGACACAAAGGAAACCCATCTTAAAGACATACTATTGTCTTAAAATCACTGTTTTAGATATCTAGGTCAGAAAATTAGTTAATCAACTGTGAATATTAAAATAGATGATTTCTGCCAAGAATAGGTTAAGTAGTGATAATTTAATATTTACTGCTTCATTAAGATCTAGGTAGCTTATATTGTTAAGAAACTATACACACATATGAACAAAATAATAATAAAAAAAAAACAGCTGAACAACGTATGACCTAGAAGCATTATTACTGAGCTGCAATTTCTTTTTTCGACGTGTGTGTGTGTGGCTGGGGACGAGCTCAGGGCTTTGCACATGCTAGGCAAGAACTCTACCATGGAGCTACATCCCAAACCCTAAGCTGCAATTTCTCTAAGGATAGAATCTTATTAAGTCTTCTCTGCTTTCACTACAGAGCACAATACAGTGGCTTACACATGCTAATTTAATACATAAAGATCTTTTGGGTGCAGGCACACTGAAAGATTTCAATGGTTCATTATAAAACCCAATTCATAGCCATCGCCTACAAAGGCTTACATGATCTGTTGCTAGCTACTTCTTCTGCTCATTTTGAACCACCTTTCCTCCATTTTTATTCTTTCTCTCTCTCTCCTCCTCCTCCTCCTCTGGGGTTTGAACTCAGGACCTTGCCAAGCAAGCATTCAACCACATGAGCCATGTCCCAAGCCCTTTTTGCTGTCATTATTTTTCAGATAGGGTCTCACTAACTTCTGGTCCAGACTGACCTGGAACCACAACTCTTCTATTTCTGCCTCCTAAGTAACTAGGATTACAGACATGTACTACCATTTCTGGCTTTTGACATAGGGTCTTACTAACTTTTTTATCCAGACTGGCCTCAAACCATAATCCTGCTATCTCTGCCTCCTGAGTAGCTGGAATTACAGACATGCACCACTATACTTGGTGCCCTTCATTCTCTTAACCTGTAGCCACAGCAGCCTTCTTTCTGTTCCTTCAACACTGAACTCATACCTGCCTCAGGGCCTTTGCTGTGCCCTCTGTCCAAAATGCTCTTCCCGTCCACATCATACAATGTAAACTGAGAACCACCTTCCTGTGACTGGCTTCCCTGGCCCCTCCTCCAAAGTACCTCAGGTTACCCTAAGCACATCGCCCCTCTGCTTTCTGCTCAGCACAGCTCCCACCTGATACCGTCCTATTTATGAGAACAGGGATCTGATTCATCTTGGTCAGTCCCCATCCATCCCCAAGGCCTAGAACAAGGTGTTCCACTTATACATGTTGAATAAATGAAAAAAAGAAATAGACATTAAGTACGAAAGGCATGAAAATGCACATACTCACTAGTAGAGACTTTAGATAAACGCCAACCTTTATTAAACTAGGCAGTAACAATACTGCAACGCAAAACAAGACTGCTTTCTTTCCAAATTTTACTGCTTTGCACTTACAGAAAACTGTCATCTGGTTTCCAGTTGTATTTTTTTTCTATAAATCCTTCAAAAACAGTTATCTTTGTCTCTGTATTCCTTAAGGGAAAAAAAAGTCCCTATAATAATAAAAATCACCACAGAAGTGTGATATCATAAATCTTCCCAGACAGCAGCACCCCTAGCAGGAGGTGAGGTGAACCCAGCTATCAACAGCTTCCCATTCAGCCACAGACCACAGTGGCCAAGAGAGGAACCAAAGAGCAAGATGGGAGTGTCCTTCATCCAGAAGCCTTGGGATGGATACAGAGTTTAGACCCCAAATATTAAACGACAGGGATTAGATTGTGCTTCAAGAATTGCCTAACAATATTGGTGCCATGGCTCTTGGGGAATCTCTAGTTCAAACCCCTTATTTTACCCATGAGAAAATGAGATATGGAGAGGGGAAGAAGCCTGGGATAGCCACAGCTGTCACCTGACATACCAGAGCCAAAAGCTCTTCATTCTTCCTGGAATACAGTGACAGTTTCCTCAAACTGTTTCTATTTACAGTAAGCCTCCAATATTCGACTAAGAGACTGTTCATGTTGAAGCAAGCTGTTTACACAAAAAATTTAAACATAACATTATTGAGTAAATATGTAGGCCAAAGGTTGGCAAATTTTTTCTGTCCAGGAGCTAACAGTAAATATTTAGGCTTTGCAAGCCATGAAGTCTCTGTCTCATCTACTCTGTCACTGCAGTGTAAAAGCAGCCAGAGACAGTGTGTGGACTTGTGAGTATAGCTGTGTTCCAGTGAAAATTACAAAAACAGGAAGTAAGCTATATTTGGCCTATGAGCCAGTTTGCTGATGTCTGCTATAGACGCCAATCCCTGAGTCATCATCATGAAGACACAAAATTAGCAGTAATAACGGGTTATTTTCTTACTTTATGGGGACACAATGTATCACAAAGATCTCAAACACCTGGATTTAGGCTGGGCATGGTAGGTCATCTCTATAATCCCAGGTACTCATGAGGTAGAGCTTGGTAATACCACACAGGACAAATGTTCAGGACACATTATATCAGCAGATAAACAGGGTATGATGGTGGTTCACACATGTACTCCCAGCTATGCAAGAGACACAGGTAGGATGCTTAAAGTAGGAGGCCAGCCCCAGACAAAAACGCAAGACCTGATTGGAAAAACAACAAAACCAAAAACAGCAAGGAATAGGGCTCAAGTGGTATAGCACCTGTCTAAAAAAATGCAAGGCCCTGAGTTCAAATCTCAGTACCACCAAAAGAACGAAGGAAAACAAAAAGTCTGAATTTTGTTATGGAATAATGGGAAACTGTTTGACCAAGAGAATCAGAACCCAAGTTCCACTCCATCTCTGCCACAGATTGCTATACAATTTGGCTAAGTCTTTACCTATTCAGACTTTGGCTTTCTAAAGCTAGAACAAAGGAATAGCTGTGAGTGCTCTGGACAAACATATTACTGTCTTCATTGCATCTGAACAATTTCGTAACAACCAGCTCCAGCTGATCTCAGTCACACTCTGTCAAGTGCTGGAGCCAATCACCTAGGACACATTCAGGAACTCTCTCCCCTGGTTGAGCCCTGACATCAGTTAACAAAACCTATTGGCTCTGCTCCTACGTCACTCTCCTCTTCTTTCCATTCCACTGCCAATAGCCTCAATTTTGCTTAATTCAGGCTAATTTCCCCATAAGATTCTTTTGACTACAGTCTCAGTACTTTCCTATCTAGCTTCACATTCTGCCCAAAACACCTCCCTCCCACCCCCCCCACCCCCGCCTGGAGTATAAAACCTAACCTCCACGTGGCATATAGACCACCAAGAGACTGACTATACATGCCTGATCAGCTCGTCTTTTCTGATTGTTAAATAAAGGAAGTTTGTTCCCTCTACCTGAAATCCCTACCCTTGACTCATCAGCCAGAAAAACTTTTATATACCAAGTCTCAGCTCACAAACAGCCCCTCCATGCAGCCCTCCTACTGTCCCCAGGATACTCAGATACACTTTTTTTGTGTTCCACTGTACCCTGTACACATCTCCCCTCAGCTGCCATCTGATGATCCAGATTGTTTGCCTGTCTCTCAATCATAGCCCCAACTGTAAGCTCCTTGAGGACAGGGCTCATTTTTACATTCCCAGCTGTTCCAGAGCAGGACCTGAACTAATGCCTATTAAATCAACAGACCAATTTTAACTGGATGCCAGTGGTTCATACCTGTAATCCTAGCTACTTGAGAGGCTAAGATTAAGAGGATCAAGGTTCAAGACCAGTCTGGGCAAATAGTTAGCAAGATCCCATCTCCAAAATAACCAGAGCAAAATGGACTGGGGGTGTGGCTCAAGTGTAGAGAAGCCCCTGCTTTGCAAGTATGAAGCCCTGAGTTCAAACCCCAGTCCGACCAAAGAATAAAAATAATAGATAAGCTCTTTCTGAAATGATAACTTACCCATAATCCTCCAAGGCACATCCCAGCATAAGAAAAGTCAGTCCAATGGCCCCACTGAAGGACAATGCCACAAGAGCTGTGAAAAACAAAATCAAGGGTTAAAAGTCCAGATCAGTGATTGCTAGGGGCTGGAGGAGGTAAGGGCAAGGGACAATGATAAGTAATGGGCACAGAGTTTCTTTTGGGGATGATAAACATGTCATGGAATTAGATGGCAATGATGGCTGCACAACCTTGTGAATATTCTAAAAACCATGGAATTTTGCACTAAAAAAGGTTGATTCTATAGCATGTGAACATATCTCGATAAAAAAACTACTTCAAATAACTACTACTATGGACCACACGTTTATATACCCATAAATTCATATACTAAAACCCATATATTAGGAGGTGGGGACTTTAGGAGGTAATTAGTTAAATGGGGTTAAAAGGGCAGAGTCTCCATGATGGGATCAATGTCCTTAGAAGAGAAAGAACTGAGAGCACTCATGTTCTCACCGTCTCTCGTCCCACTCTACCATCTGTAAACCAGGAAGCCCTCACCAGACACCAGATTTGCCTGCCCCTCTCCAGAAGTATGAGAAAATAAAAATGATATTAGGCCACCCAGTCTGTTGCATATTTTTATTGTATCCCAAGTTGATAAGACAACTGCCTGTGTCCACCACTTTAAAATCAAAAGTGCAGAAAAATGTCTATCAACTCCAGTACCTTTCACCAGTCCACATTTTCTACAAGACGGCTGCCAGCCAGTCTACACAACTCCAGTGAGGGGAAACACAAACCACCTGGGGCAGGTTAGTTAACTCTGACAGTTTCTAAATGTTGGAAGCTCTCCTTCCCTAAATTATATCTAAAACGGAGTCACTCTGCTATACCTCTGGTCATTCTGCCTTCCCTAAGCACAAGTACTTAACTGCTTTTATGTCCTTTAGGAAACAATTCCCAACTAGTAGCCACTGAATGAAACATCTATTCCCTGCATCTGCTGGACGCTCATCTCTGAGAGGATGGGAACATCTTTACCCTTGTCATACTGCTGAGTGACAAGCAGAGAACCAGGCTGGTAAAAAATTTAAAAATCTCAAGTCAGAAACATGGATTCAAATCTCAGCTCTGTCACCAACCTGCTACACAACCTTCGGTAGAAGCCAAACCTCTCTGAATTTGGCTTTTTACCTGTAAAATGGGTAAATCCCATCTTATGGCATTTATGGAAATTAAATGAAATAATTTATGTAAAGTGCCTGGCAAAAGGAAGTGCTCAATAAATATTAACTGATACAGGTATCTCCTCATTTTAACAGCGTACTTCAATAAAGACAAATGAATAGCATAGGACTTTTAATTTTAGTAGTATCCAAATTCTCCTCTAAAATATCCCTAATACTCACAATTAGTTATTGATTAAACTAATGAACAGTTTTTATTGCTCCCTTTTAATTTAATAGATTTAGAACTAGGCCTCTTCCTCCGCCTCCAATCTGGACTACTCTGCCTAGGGAGCCAGTGACCAACAGGGACCTCAAATTCAACCCCTATCACAATGAACCACCACCCCCAATCCCCTATCTACTCCTCCCAAATGCACACTCCACCTGCCCTTTGGAAGTCCTATCTTAGAGGCCTCACACCAAAGCAGCACTCTGCCTTCCAGCAAATCAGCAAGTCCAGATCTCTCTCAATCCACCCTGACCAAGGGCAGAACCCTATCATCTACTGCCTGTAACCAACCATGCCTCTTCCAATCCATCCTCCACACAGCAGTTGGTGGTATCAGTAGTGGTTTACATGCATGTACCCACGATCTGATTCAGCTGCTTTTCTAGGTCAACCTCCCCACCCTCCCTCTGAGTTCCTGAAAAGAACTGAGGCACCCCCTCCAGTCACATGTTATTTTCTCCACTTGGAATACACTCTGCCCTCCCCTGATCCCTCAGCAGTAGCAACCCTTTAGGTTAAGTTCTCTTTTGCAAAAGCAGTCCTCTTCCTCCCTAGAGGCGTAAGCAATGCCATCTGTATTAGTGTCCTCAGACTGCTGTGACAATAGAGTACCACAACCTGAGTGACTCAGAGCAACAGACATTTATTCTCTCAAGCACCTTCTGAAATGAAGGTGTCAGGAAGATGGACCACAGTCTCTTTGGATATGGTAGGAAACAAGCCTTTCTTGCCCCTTCCTGACACCTGGTGCTGCCCGTAATTAGTGCTGCGTGGCTTGCAGCTGCATTATGCCAATTTCTGCTCAGGTCTCCGTTCTGCATTATGTCTCCATTTCCAGATTTCTCTCTTCTTTCAAGAACATCCAACATTGGATTAGGGTCCATCTTAAGCCAGTATGATCTTACCTTGATTACATCTGCAAAGAACCTATTTCCTAACACGGTCACATTCACAGGAACTAGGGAGTTAGAATTTGAACATATCTCAAAGAGGGACATGATTTGAGCCACCATACCATCTGTGGTTCCCACTGCACCTGAGCACACCTTATTCTCTTACACAGTAATGCAATTATTTGTAGCTGTCACTGGATAATATTTCATTTATCTTTTAACCCCAAATCTCCAACATATAGCAGTTCCTCAATAAAAGCTGAATTCTCTGCAAAATGTTTCCTTGCTTTAGTCCTTTTCTACTTCCTAGCCTACATTCCTTTCTAATATATCACAATTTCTAACACTCACTACTGTACATTGCTATTATTTGGTACTTTTTGATCATTCCCAAACACTGTCTAGTGAGATATTATTTGTCATCTGTTTTCTGTATTCCTTTCAAATGTGTATATTATACACTGGACAAGGACCAAGTAAACTATGTTTATTCAACTGATATTGAATATAAAACATCAGCTAGAAATGATAAAATGTGTCTGTTGTGCACAGCTCACACAGATAAATTCATAGTGAACACGCAAACACATGCACAGCCGTATACACTGTATACCTGCTTTCAGCAGATGTTAACTGGCAAGACCTTTACGTACAAATTTCAAGGATAGGAACTCCAACACAGAAAACGAGCTATGCTAATCTATTTGAAAGATCACAAATGGAATCATTAGCTACCCAAAAAACAGAAGCCTTCAATAACTCTTTCCCCATTCAGAACCTAATTCCTCTGAATGCACACAAATAAGGGAAGTGGTGTTCTTGGTTCCCCCTTAGCCTCGACTGTCCCATTCAAGAACACAACTCTACACACACTACTTTCTTGCCTGTGCTCAGAAGAGTAGGGAAAACACTGAAGAAAGGCGTGTTAAAATTCCACCTAATCTAGGCTCCCAGAAGGCGAGAAATAAATACAGCGTTGCTGTGTGCTTTCCATTGACACCCACAGCCGTCAACTCTGCCCTGTTGGAAAAATCATTAGGAACGTAAGGATTAAGTTTCCCAACGCCGACAGGGGAGACAAAGGTTCCTTTGTCCGCGGAAGAGACCGCGAAGGACAGGAAGCGTTAGGGGGCGTTGGGCGGCAGCGAGGAAGAGGACCCGGGATCAGGACTCGGCGGCGGTGGTCGGGCGCTCCGAGACCCGGACGCCTGGAAGACGATGCTCCGAGGCTGGCCCGGGCCTCCCCAGAGGCAGCGCGGACCGGCAGGGGGCGCCGGGGCTCGGCAGATCCCAGGCCAGGGCGTGCACCAGTGGTCGCACCAAGACGTGCCAGGATCCCCCGAAACGCCCCTCCACCCACACCCGAAGAGCCGAGGAGGGCGGGTGAGCACCTCCCCCCCCACCCCCGGAAGCGGGAAGGGTGGCGGTGGTTCGGAAAGTCGGTCCCCTCCTGGTGCCGAAGGCACAGCTGTAGGTTGAGCCAAGCAGAGAAGGCGACCCCACCCCAGATCAGCGAGTCCCGAGGATGTACCCTTAACGCCTGCCATGTTTCTGGAGCTGGGGCCGCGGCTGCTTCCGGCTTTCTTCCTCCGCCCTGGCCCCCTTCCTCCGCCCCGGCCCCCTCCAAGCCAGGCCCAGGGCCGCCCAGCTGGTCCGGAGCCCCGCCCCTGGCTCGCGGAGCCACACAGAGCCCCATCTCTACTGGGCCTGAGCCCTGCCACTCACAACCACGCCCTGATCACGACCGCATAGCCCCGCCTCCTCCGCCCCTGATCCCGCCCTTGCCACGCAGATTCCCGTCTCTACTGGTCCAGATCCCTGCCACTCAGCGCCACGCCCTGATCCCGCCCTGCCTTGCCCCGCCTCCTCTGCCGCTGATCCCGCCGCCGCCACACAGAACCCCGCCCTTACTGGCTCTGAACCCTGCCACTCAGAGCCACGCCCTGACCCCGCCCCGCCACGCATAGCCCCCGCCCCCTACTCTCCATAACTCCGCCCTTAAGTTCTCAGAGCCCCGCCCCGCACACCCAAGGCTAAGCCTAGAGTAACCTGGGACCTGAGCTCTGCTTCTCACCCTCTTAACCGCCCTAAGCTCCGCCCTCAATCTGTGGGCTGGGGCATCTGCTCTACCCAGACCACGGTCCCAAAAGCTCGCTCAGTCCTTTCAAGACGCCCATAGAAAGCCTAGCTGCCTGGAAACCCACCTGAGAGTGGAGACCGAGAAAGTGGGGAGGGAGAAGAAGGAAACAGAGGGGGAAAGTTACGTGCCGTGGAGGAAGATGAGACATGCAGTTACTAACCAGTGTAGGTTTTCTGTGTGCGCGGGCGTGTGTCTGTCTGCGCTCACGTGGCTGTGGGGGGTGAGGCGGGGCACCAGAGAACAAGCCCGGAGGAGACATGCCTTCCTAGGATCTTGACCTTAGAACTTCATGTAAACTCTCTCCTCTCTTTACTCTGGTTTATTTGTAGAGACAAAGACCTAAAAGACTTTTTTTGTGTCCATCGATTTCACGGACCTTTAAATAAAGAGCTATCATTTTTGCACGTTGGTGTACCTCAAGGCTTCAGGTAACCAAAGCCAGTTTTTAGGTTTCCAAGCGCCACTTTTTACTTACCTTCTTTACAGGAATGGAGACTTTTGTCTTGATCTTAGAAATTATCCAACGCAAGTGCTTCTTACCTTTGGGGAAAGAGGTTCAGAAAGGGTAGGAATTATGCCAGAAAGCTCTTGGAGAGGTTGAAAAAAAGAAAAAGTGAAATTTCTGGACTTACAAGGGAAGAAAAAAAAAGTGTATGCTGAGATTGCTAAATCTACTGTGCAATAAGACACATTGAGAGGCACCACACTCCCATAACATTGGTACATTGTTATAACTGTACTTTGTTATTGTTGTTAATATCTTCCTGTTACTATAAATTATCATGGGTTTGAACACATAGGAAATGTAAATATAGGCTTTGAAACTATCCATGGTTTTCAGCTTGGCGGGGGTGGCTTGGCATATACCCCTTGTGTATAAGAGGGTGTACACCAAGTTCCCCTTCGTGTTAAAGCACCCAAGGGGAACTGCTCACCAGCCAAACCCTGAAAACCTGTGGGTTTCAGCTCCTTTAGTAGTTTAGTGCTGAGCTACTCTAGTGAGGAAGTTGGATTTTCCCCACCTTAAATGATGAGGTTATTCTATGGGGTTCAATGTCCCCATTCCCCTCCTATTCACTATCACCTTCTTTATCTCCTGAAAAGCCAGTTATAGGGGTTTGCTGGAGCCGAGCAATAAAATACTGAAAAGTGGTGAGAAGCAAGAGAATAGCAGTATTAGCCTTAGGGTGATATCTAGAATCTGAAAAATTCTGAGGCAGTGTTTGTCTCCATCTTGCTCTCTGCCCACACCAGCTGCCCTTTCCCATTCACCACTTTCGAGAGAAAGTTAGTCATCTTGAAGATGCTTTATTTAACCATCTCCTGACCAAATCTGCTTTTCCCTTGCCAGATGGGTCTTCCACTTACCCATTCCACATTTCCTGAAGAATAAGAGTCACTGAAACCTGAATCTTTACCCCCATCTTGCTATCAGTCTGTTACCTGGCTGTATGAGATCTGTGCCATTGTCAGGCTGCCTAGGATGACAGTGGAATTCTTAAGATGAATCTTAATATTCTCTCCTTGCATTCACACTATGAGCTAGGTTTTATTATCTCCACTTTACAGATAGGAAAACAAAGGCTCAGATAGTAACTAGCAAGTAGGAAAGCTGAGATCAAGTCCCAGGACACTCAATTCTAAAGTCAGATGGTCAGTGTTTCTATTATTCCCCAAAATAGATTTTATGCTCTGAGAAGGCAGGGATTAAGAAATAACAATAACAGTTTATGTTTAACTGGGATTTCAAATCCATTTGTTGATTTGATATTCATCTACATATCTACTGGTATCTTGATTGAATTAACTGAAGGGGCAGGAGAGGGGTGATCCCTTTCCCATCCTTCACAAAGTATCATTGCCAACACCCCTATAATAAAAGACAGGTTAACAAGAGAAAAGCTTAACAAATTTATTTGATCATAGTTTTATATGATACAGGAGCCTTCAGATAAAAGAGCCAAAGACCCTGAGTGAACTGTGTATTTTTATGCTTAGATTCAATGAAGCATGGACAGGCATGTACAAATACGACTGATCAAAAGGGTATGATCTAATAGTAATAGACTTAAGAGGGAAGACCAGCAAGGACTGTCAAGATTCTTCTTGGTCTCTCTGTGCAGATTCCTTCCTTCTGGGTACAGGAAGAATCCCTTCTGGAATAGGGGTCTTACAGCCTACAATCAAACAAAGAAGGTCAAAGAATTTCTTCATTGTAGACTCATACAGAAAGAAGGAGAAAAGTCAGAATAGTATCTTTAGTTTTTAATGGCTGAGTTTTGGAAATGAATTGTGGTTCTATGACCCACCTTATGGAAGAAGAGTTCTAGTTTCTATGGCTTGCCTTGAGAAAGAATGAGGTAGGTTAGAGACAGGAGGGCAGGAGAAGTTCAGAGAGAGTTTGCTTTGGGGGCCTTCACTTTACCATGTCATTTTCTTAGCCCCAATATAAAACATATCAGTAAGTTTACCATATATAGTATCATTTCTCCCTGTCCTACAGAGAATATCTGTCTCAAACCACACCTCAGAGTAAACTTCCCTAGGTCAGTTTCCTGAGGTAGGATATACAAAATCTGCCTCTCAGTGGCAAGTACCCACCTGTGAACAATTTATACACATGGTCCCTAATTCCTACTCTGCAGGGTTGTTAGGTTTCTATTTTACAAGTCATAAAAAAAGTAAGACTCATAGAGATTAAGAAAATTGTCTACCATAACAGACAATAAGTGGAAAAGTCAGTACTCAAACCCAGTCTTTTACTCTCACAGAAACATTCAGTGCTATGCCCAAACACCGTAATTCAGCTTTAGAGTAATCCAGCCCTGTTTATTTGACCTAAATTCCCTGATGGTGTTTCCAGCAGGGGAACTGCTCTGTTGCTGTGATAACTGCTTCTGGAATTCAACTTTTGTGCTCATTCCTTACACAATGGTGGTTCATCAGTGGCTTTGGGACCCAAGCAGCATTCTTCCAGATGCAGACAATACAGTGATGGTTTGATGTTTTTGAACCACAACATTTATTTGCAAATGGACATCCTGCTCAGTCCTTAAAGAACTAAAATATCTGAGACTTTGTGTCTATAATAAATCCCAGACTCAGCCCACAAATACACTTTTTCCCTTTTTCTTTCTTTTTTTTTTTTTTCTTTTGGCAGTACTGGTGTTTAACTCAGGACCTTACACTTGCTAGGCAGGCGCTCTTACCACTGGAGCCAAGTCCACAGCCCTACAAATGTGTTTTTGAAAATCCATTAATATTCTGATCAGGAGAGCAGCAGATCTATGCTGGTTCATTTCAAAACATGGTATTCACATAGCATGATCAGAGAGAGAAAGAATGTGTGTGTGTGTGTGTGTGTGTGTGTGTGTGTGTGTGTGTGTGTGTATGGATGATGAAAGTATAGGAAATCTCATCAGATTACATTTTGGTGAAAATGTATTATATGTTTTTCATATTCTTTCCCCATAATTTTCCTTTAAAGTGAATCAGGTCAGAGATGTAATTCAAATTTGTCATTGTATTCCTACAAGTACAAAAATAACTTAGGTTTCTAAAAATATTTTTGAGCCTTTTAATATACATTACAAATATTTTAGACCAATCACATTTTGTTGTGTATAATATATTTACAAAACAAAAAATATATTACAATAAATATGAATGAAACAGTGAATCAGATCAACAACAAGCTCTGTCACTACCAGATATTTAAAAGGAATGCATAAACCTGTTGGTCTGCATATGTTCAGAGTTTTCTGATAAACAGGGGTCCAGAATTATAATGTATCTGGAAAAGAGATGGGGGGAAGCCCCTGACTTTAAGTAAGATTCTTTCTCATTGCTAATTACATAATTTTAATGATATTTTTAACTGTGAACATTAATGAATTATCCAAACATGATACAAAGCTAATATAGTTCTATGATTTCAAAATGTACATGACTTCCACATAATATCCTTTTAATTATTGTCATTATATACTGTAGTTCATACGATATCTACAAATGTGAATGAGAAAAGAAAAAACAGGTCACAGCAACATGTCTCACATTCCAGTTTTAAGTAAGACAAGCACATACTGGATCAAACATTATAATACATTAAGAAGTAACATCTAGTTTGTTATGGTTACCTTGAACAGTTTACAGCTGTGTATTTAAAAAGAGAACATTTTTTGAGAGTTTCACATTATCAATAAAATGTAAAATAAATAATTAATGTTTGTGACCAAAAAAGAAAGATCTATATAGAACCTAAAGAATTTTTGACATGCTGCTTTTCTGGTACAGTTTGCCACAAGAAAATTAAAACAGAAACAAAAAATGATTGTCTTTGAAAAACAACTTTTGAAAGCATTTCATGATATTGAGCATAAATCTTTTAAGATTAGCATCAAAATCTTCATGACCACCTGCTTTGTGCATATATATGTGCATTTAATATATATACATATATTTATATATATAAAACGCACATCATGTATGTGCTCACTAGGAGATCTACTAAAGCCACAGAATAACAAACTGCTTACCCCTCAAAATGAGAGACAGCCAAACACTGAATTGAAATCCAACCAGTTGGAGGTCTGGAAAAGTTTCCTTCTTGCCGTGCTTTCACGAAGGTCCCTATCTGAATATTGTTCCTGTAGACCTCCAACTACTTTACAACAATAAACCCCACAAAAATAATCCAAGGGATCCATAGTCATTGGCTGGGAAGGAACAGAGTTTCTCAAAGCAAATACTAACAGGCCACTGACTAGGTCTGAAGATGCACACAGCACTCTCCCTGCAACTGCACCCTTCTCCTGACTCCTCACCTTCTCCTGACCTTGTCTTTTGTCCTTATCACAAGTGCTCACAAATCTACAGAACATTGAGTCCAGGTATTGATCCTGACAAAATGTGACTGGGCCAAACTGCTTTCTAATGTGTTACCAGCTAAGAAACATTTTCTTGACTAAGCAAAAAAATGAGTATTATGTCTTATGGTAAAATTGAAGTGTCTTTCAAATCAGGTTCAGAATTGTTATGTTATTAAGAGTTTTTCTTTAATCAACTATACTTTTCTCAAGGGAAAAGAGGGCAGCAGCCCAACATCCTGACCAGAAGTCAAGATTTCTACATCTTCAGAGTTTCTATTTTCTTTAATCAGCATTTGTGTTCATTTTTAACTTATCCAGGAAGAATTGGTGGTAATCCCTGAAATTTTACATAATCACTTCCCACAATCCAAGTTCCTTTATATTAGTTAGTGCTCCTGCTCAAATGACTATGCAGTATTATGCTAACAACCATACATTGTAATTTCCATTAAAAAATAGTTGGTGGTTATGTTCCTGGAGTCTTTGTAAAACCATCACTCAAATTATCTTTCAAAAAAACCCACCTAAAACCGTTCTTTAAAACCATCAGGTAATCCTATTATCATAACTTTTGCTAATTAATCTTATTCTCACAGCAATAAGATGGATGTTATGCCTTCACCTTTGGTGGCCTCAATTTTCCATTTTCCCAGGCAAACAGCTTAGTAGGCTCCCCAAAGAGCAGGCTGGAATGTTCTGTCTCTGCAGGATCATCTATCTAAAAATTCCTTCTCTTGCTTTGGATCTTTTATGGCAGGGGTTTGGAGAAACCAAATGTCCACATTTCCTTATTATGAGAAATTAATTCACGAGTAATTTAACAGTTTAGTACTAGAAATGCATTACTGGAATTTTTGGTTCATCTGTGAAAACCTCAGAATTGTGATATACACTAAGCATTAGCACAGGTCTGCAGCTGAGACGAAAAAGCTCACAATTTAATACAAGGGCTTTTGGCCTTGGTTTTCAAATTCAGACCAGGCATCGTTTAGCTCCATGAAAATCATCTTTGCATATTGTTCATAGGGTTGCCCAGTAGCCTGTAGAAGAAAACAAAAACGCACATTAGATGCCAGAGTCCAAAATTATATTTAGATTAAATGAACTGCTAAGAAGGGTTCTAAGTAATTAAAATGCTTTCCTATAACACTGCTTCTCTTTTTATAGCCCAATCTATATGACCATAATTCTATGCCATCCCCCTGGAAATTCACATACGGTAATAGTGATCCATCAGTAAGTAGATAACAGAGCTTATTGGACAGCAAAAGATACATTTTCCTTCTCCAGAAGTGTCTACCAAATAAAAAAGCTAAATGACAGCCTGTCTCCAATTGATTGGGTTTCTAACCTCTTATTTTCCAATTTGTGAAAAGTTAAGTTCTTTGAGACACATAACAGGGGCAAACAATTTGTGCATTTTTCTGGGTTCCCATTTCTATTTTGATTGATCAAAATTCAAGTACTAGCCAAGTGCCCGTAGCTCATGCCTGTAATCCTAGCTACTAAAAGGGAGGCTGAGATTGGGAGGATCATGGTTCGAGGCCAGCTCAGGCAAACAATTCATGAGACACCATTTCCAAAATAACCAGAGCAAAATGGACTAGAGGCATGGCACAAGTGGTAGAGCACCTGCTTCACAAGTGTGAAGCCCTGAGTTCAAATCTCAGTTCCCACACACACACATACACAAAATGCAAGTATTAATGTTGTTTCTTATTAATTCTTCTATTCGAGTAGTCATAAAAAGTGAGGAGAGATGGAAATCAAATACATGGGATTCAAGCATGTGTTCCCAAGAGGCACCTCAATCATGACTTCAAGTCATGACTCACTTCTGTCTAAGATATCTGTCTGAATTATGATTTTACTAGGCCATGAGGTAGTGGAAGTTTCTAACACTGTAGAACACTTGATGCATACATACATCAAAGACAACATAAATTGACACAAGCAGTTTATGTAAAAACAATGTGTTTAGTTCTGTTGTTAAAATCTTGCTGTTTCTCACTAATGTTGCAAAACACATTCTAATGCTTTTCACTGCTGTGTCTCCAAAAGAGAAAAGCTTCTTTCATCTAGCTCTCTGCTAGACTTGAGTTTTACTAAATACATGGCTTAATCAACCAGAAAATGGGAAGTATGTGTGTTTTAATACATGTTCATATAATGAAATGAGAACCAGACAAGTGATACGACAGGGAGGTCCTACTCACTTTATCTGGGTGCACAACCAGCACAGCCCTCCTGTATACCTTCTTCACCTGCTCTGGTGTCACCAGGTCTGCCATGCCAACTGGTTTCCACTTGGTCTCTCCAGCCCACAGCACAGTGTGCATTGTGGACAGAAGGGCTCTGATATTTCTCTCTTTGCCTTCTATCCATTCCAGAATCTGTAAATGTGGGGGAAGAGAATTAGGAAATTCAATTGTTTTCTGGTCCAAGACTCTGGAAACCTCCCCGCTCTAGCAAAATCAAACAGTTGGAGTACCCCGTACACTCCACACTGTTCCTTCTACCTGGGATGCATTTCCTTCCACCTCCACCACCTACCTTGTCTTTCTGGTCTTCAACAGCTTGCTCAGGAATCTCACAAAGTTTACCTCAGAGAGTTTGAATTCATTCCTCTTTGACCTCTTACACTTAACTACATGCTCCTAAGTATAAACTCCAAGAGGTCACACCTGCATCTGCTGGGTTACCAGAACTACATAAACATCCCTTTTAGGAAGGCCAGACTCAGGCTAAGGAATAAGGCTCAGTGGTAAAGCATGCTTAGCATGCACTGGACCCTGGGTTCAATCCCCAGCACTGCCAAAAAAAAAAAAGAAAAAGTCTTTCAAGAAAGCCAAACTTATCTAGGGCTACTGGTGAATGCTTGTAATCCCAACACTCAGGAGACTGAGGCAGGAACATGCCACTATATAGCAAGACCCTATCTCAAAAAAAAAAAAAAAAAAGAAGGCCAAACATGTTTTCTGGCCTGCTCTATTTTAAACATGTTCCTGTCATGATATGTGCCACACTTTATTGTAATTGTATGTTCATCTTTCCCTGCCATGAGGCAAAGCTGTGTGAGAAAAGGTACTGTTCCTTACTTATCACTCTATCTCAGGAACCAAGTAATAGACCTAACACAGAGCAGAGCTCCAAAGAGACTCAATGAATTGATCCATTTGGCCATTTATTCAACTATGAACATTCATAGATGAACCTTCAGAGTTTGAACAAATGAAGTGTTTAAGTTAAAGGAATAAAAAAATGCATTTATCATCTAACAGCCTAGTGAGTGTTTCCTGGTGTATGAATGGCTCAGTCATGGTTAATGATGGCTACTTTCCCAACACTTACATACTCTGTACCAATCAAACAACCAAACAAAGATTTTAAAAAATGATCAACTTTCTTTTATAGAAAACTGTTTAGAGTTTGCCTAATAAACTGTGATCCTAGGATCACAGTCCATGACCAGCCCTGGCAAAAGCATGAAACCCTATCTGAAAACATAACTAAAACTAAAAGGACTGGGAGCATGGTTTTTGTGGTAGAGCACCTTCAAGTCTGATGTTACAGAAGTGACAATTCCTGGATGCATAAGTATTTCTCTATCAACAGAGAACAGATCCTGTTTTAGTCAACAGTCTAATAAAAAGCTCTCAATGCAGAAAGAGAACATACAAAAAATGCACTCTTCTCCTCACCAGACTCTAAGGACTTGTCTTTAGAATCTGAATACCAAGCAGCACATACAACCTCCCCGCAAAGCTACTTAGATATTAAAAGGCATGTACTCAAATCACAACTTCAGGAATCCACCAAAATACCGTGGTTGCCAGAACATAGGTGCTATGGGCTGAATGCCTATGTCATACCCGAAATCCATATGCTAAAGTCCTAACCCCCAAGGTGATGGCATTAAGAGGTAGGGCCTTTGGGAGGTGATCAGGCAATAGACTGGGCTCATGCCAATGACTCCACACACCTCTCTTTGTCAGAAGGCCTGGCCCCGTAAGACAATGACACTGAGTCAGGGGCTCACTCACCTTCAACTTCTCGGGATCCATTTCCTTAGCCATTTCCTCCTTTCTCATCTCAGCTATTGTTCGGGGTCCCTTTTTGTCTTTGTGAGCATTGAAGCCTTGACTAGAAAGTAGGTCTTCAAAATCTGCTGCTTTTTGTTTCCCTTCTGCAATACAATTTTTGAAAATTTTATTTTTACTCTTAAGCAGAATATCTTATCATTATCTCAAAGGATTTAGGATCTTCAAAGTGCTTTTCCATTCATTAATCGCCATGACACTCACAAATGCCCTGTAACAAGGCAAAAGACTGCCATGCCCATATTACAGATGATGACAGGCTACCTACACCAGGCCCCACACCACCATCCTCACCCAGATTAGTTGATCCTTTCCCTCGCTCGCCCTGGGCTGCAGGCATCGCTGAGAAGCTCACGTTGTAGTTGGGGCGGTTCTGAGGGGAGGAGTGTGGCATGCTGGGCTGGGGCTTAGCCTGTGACTGCTGCCAGTTGTAGCCTCCAGCCTGCTGCCACCCTCCAGCCATAGGCTGGGGAGATGCTTTCTGTGGCGAGCTGAGAGATGGAAATCCTCCACCCAGTCCAGTTGGTGTGGTAGGTTTGCTAGCAAATGAAGAACCACCTACAGAGCAAAAAGGAGAAGGAAGGTAAGGCTACTTTGAGTAACCTCTAACTCTTGCATCTCAAGAAACTGTTTGCAATGACTTTAGTGGAAACTGCCTTGACTGATAGCATAATTAACCTTCCTAATAGGTAAAAAAATGGCAGGCATATCTATTAGTTCCTTAATCCCCTCAGTGACACTTTTAGGTATGTTCTCATAGCCTCACATTTTCTTCAGATGAACAAACAGCAGCTCAGGATAGTTATGTGATCTTTTTAAAGTCACACAGCCAGCATGTGGAAGAATTGGAACTTGAACCTAGATCTTTGACTCCAAGCCAGAAGAAAGAGCCCTGGCTCTTCCCACCAGGTGATCGTTTCCCAACCTCCTACTGTCTAAGTAGATTTTATTTCTTTGCTAGTGTCGAAACTACCAAATGACAAGAACAGGGAATAAAACAAAGTTCACTCATTAAGGGGCTACTTAAACTTCAATTATCAGGGTTCATGATTCTTTATTTTAAGTACAAGCATGATTTAGTGCCCAAGAGTAAATAAAGATGATTTAAAATTTGACAGTTTCATCCTTTCACTGGTTGCATTTTGTTATAGGAGACCCTGCATAAAATAAGAATCTGAAATGTGTTGATCTCTTAGGGCCCTTTCATAAAATAAGCCCAAAGTAACAGTGACAATAAAATAACATTGATACAGCTCTTTAGAGTTTATAAAAAGTGGATACACACCTTAATGCCTTTGATCTACACAATACCTTTAAGGGGTAAGGTGAAGTCAAAGCTCAGAAATACTGATACACTCATGATCACACAGCTAGTTAATGGAGCTGAACTTGACCATATGCACCCGTCTTACTTTCCAGAATCCCTAATTCCTCCCAGAACTCTGAGCCTTTACCAAAACTCATCCTTTACTGTATCTACTTTCTATAGATATTTCCCCTCTGTCCTGATCTCAGGACTCCTGTTTCCTTCCCCACTGAGAATATTTTTATTATGGCCACTGGATTTAGAGCCAAACTGTGTTTGAGCCTCAGCTGTCATTCATTCTGCATTTATTCACTTCTGCACTCACTTGTATGTATTGAACATTCACTATGTGCCAGGCTACGGGAGATACAGAAAATCCCTACTCTTCTAAAGCTGGGTGAAAAATTTCATCCCTTTGAGCCTCAGTTTCCTCATCTGTGAAATTAAAACTATGTCTACATCACAGGTATAATGTGAAGACACAGGTATAATGTATGAAAGTGCTTCTCAACTCCTGAATGAAGTGAACTAAGAGGCACTGTACATTATAAAATAGGCAAACTCATATCCGAGCACCCACCACCATTATAAGGGCTCAAGAAATACTTTGGTAATACATGGAGATAATAGCAGGGCTAGTGACACACAGTGCCAAACCCTCTTCATGTGCTCTGAGTCTTCCTGTCAATAACTCCTGAACACACACTTAAGGTGGGGTATTCCTTCTGCACTGAGGTTTCATTTTGTTTCTTAAGGATGCTTAGTTTAGTCTAAATAGGTCTTAATTACTGTAAATTTTGGTAAATATGGAAAAACCTAAAGAACTAAAAAACCACTTTCCATATACCCACCACACTATCACTTATTCATTAATTTATGAACCACCTTTGCACTTCTACACACCAGGCTAAAGACACAGTGGGAAATGCAGGCACTGACACCACTCTCATGGGGCCTGTCAACTGCATGACTTTGTGATATCTAACCTTTCAGAATATTTTCTTCCCATGCTCAGCAATTCTAATTGTTAATGCTATTGAAGCAGTGAACTGACAGAAATACAAAGCACTTGCTAAACCCTGAGGCCACTGCTATCCTCATTAAAAGCTAAAGCAATGGCTCTCAACCTTTTCTGTGCAGAATTACCTAGGGAGCTCTCTCTCTCTCTCTCTCTCTCTCTCTCTCTCTCTCTCTCTCTCTCTCTCCCCCCCTCATTCCTCTCTCTCTCCCCCTCCCTCCCTTTCTAACACACACACACACACACACACACACACTCACACACACACATACACATCTTGTATGACCATAGTGAGTATTTTACATTTGAGTAACATTTCTATCTTCCACTGTATTGTAAGGTCCACTGCCTGGATGGTGAGATGCAGTGATCTTCCTTCCCACCCTCAGCTTCAGTCACTCTGCACATGTTTCTGCTCCAGAGTTTCCAAGGCTTCCCCAAAAGTCTGGGGGAGGAGGGGAAAATAGATAAAAATTCTCCTCTCCCTCAATTTTCCTTATAATCCATTAACAACTTCCACCGATTTCCTCCATTAAGTGTCAGTGGTTCTGCCATTACAGAGTTCCCTTCTCTGGAAGCAGCCAGCACTTGGTCCTTCCCACACATGACTCCATTCTTATTGGTCCTCTATAATATATCCAGAATTATCTTCCTAAAATGCAAAATTAACTGCTTCCTCAACTAGCACTCAATCTGAAGTACAAACGAATTCTGAAGTCTTTCCTGAACTGGACTTAACCTATCCAAACCCTTCTCTCCCTTCTCTATCCTACCACAGATCCCAGCTCTCTGCTTTCAAGCATTGTATGTGACTTAAACATGTCCTTCCCTCTGCCTGGGCTCCTATCCCTCTGATCCAATTTCTAACTATATCATAGGTTTCAGCATAGAAGCCACCTCTGCCTGATTGGGCGATCTCAGAACACCTGCGCATCTCTTGGTCCTTAGCTCTTTTCAGATGTTGCTTTGGAACAGAAGCGATCACCTGGGATCTCACACAACCACCTGTACAAGTCACATCCAGCCTGTTATACCTGAATAGCTATGAAAGAAACCAAGGTATTGATATTTGTTTGTATCAGAATTGTTTCATGTCAAAATGCCTTGAGGAGGACTCTGGCTTTTGTTTTTTCTGCATTCTATCACAGTAGACTTCCTTACAGTAAAATGCCAGGTAATTAATACATAAAAGACAGAAAGAAAGATTGGAAAATCACAACCTTGAAACATGATAGTAGTAATTGCTTCAGGAAAGAGTCTTTTTTTGTTTGTTTGTTCTTCTCAAGACAGGGTCTCTCTATGTAGCTCAGACTGGCCTCACACTTACAGTCTTCCTGCCGCCACCTCCTGAATGCTGGGATTATAGGTGAGTGTCAACACACCCACCAAGGATCATTAACGAATGCTAAAACCATGAGGTAAAAGTCAAATGGAAAATAGGATATTTTAAAATAGGATTATCTCCAAACATCTCCCCCAAATTACATACTAGTTACAAAAATAAGCTGGTAACTTCACAGTGAATAAATCTAGCAGATAGCACTGTGATCAAAATTAAGATTAAACCCAAACTGAGGCTCTCTCCACTGGTCTATGTCCTTCAAATATCAATGCCATGGAAGGTGGAGAAGGCTGAGAAACGTTTCCAGACTAAACAAGTCTAAAAGACATGACTACTAAATGCAAGACATGTTGGAGTTTTAAGAACTTCCTATAAAGGCCACTTCTTCAGAGAGGACTTTCCTAAACACTGGTAATCTAAAATAACACCTAAATCCACCACTATTTGCCATCTTCTTCCTTATTCCAGAAAATACTAACATGCAGCATAGGAGCTATGAATGCAAACTTGAGAGCTAGGCTTCTGGGTACTGAAATCTTATGACTCAAACATGTCAATTAATTCTTTTTTTCATAGTTTCCTTACCTACAAAATGAGGATTCTAATAGTCCCTACTTCAAAAGATTATTAGGAAGATTAAATATATACAAAACACTAAAAACAGTGCCTGGCTCATGGTGAAGTCTTCAATAGACAGTAACTGTCATTAGTATTACTTTATGATTTGACATTGTGTATTTATTCATCTGCTGTTTGTTTCTCCTTCTAGAATGTAAGCTTAAGGAAAGCATGAGCTTTGTTTTGGTTTTGACCAACATTTACTCTGACCAATAGTGCTACCACATAGAAAGCACTTAGAAAATATCTGTTGGATGAATAAATGTACAAAAATGAACAGTGAATGAGGTTTTTGTGTGTGGGGGGTGTTGTCTTTGTTTTTCTGTCTGGAGTAACAAACTCAGGGCCTCATGCTTGCTAGGCAGGTGCTCTACCACTTGAGCCACTCCACCAATCCTTTTCTGTGTTGGGTTTTTTTGAGATAGGGTCTTGCAAACTATTTGCCCAGGCTAGCTTTGAACCATGATCCTCCTGATCTCTGCCTCCTGAGTACCTAGGATTACAGGTGTGAGGCACCAGTGCCTGGCTGTTTTGTTTTTGAGACAGGGTCTTGCTACTTAGTCCCAGCTCACCTCAAACTTGATATGTAGCCCAGACTGGTCTCCAGCTTAAAATCTCTCTACCTCCCAAGTGCTGGGATTATAGGTATGGACCACCATGAGACCTCACCCAGATGAGACCTCACCCTAAGTAGAATTTGACCTGATATTATTACTTTGAAATTTTCATTAAGATACAAACAAGGGGTGGGAGGAGAAGACGACTGTGTAAAATGATGTTGAGAGTTCTTAAAAGGGAAAATTGTGAAAACGAATGCAATTATGGCAAAAATGGCATGCATGCCCACATTCCCTATGGATAACTTGCTTACGGAGGGCCCTCTAAAGAACATAGGCCATCGACATGGTCAATGTACAGCTTTGTGCAGGGCGCCCATCCTTATTTAACAACACTGCTCCACCCTAGGGAAAGAAGAAAATGGAGGAAGAAAGGACTTGGGGACAGGTAGTCCAATGAACTACTCCTTGCAGAAAGGTTCTTTGGCGAAACCACTTTGAGAACCTGGATACTGTATCCCTGTGGAAGAGCATCATCATGAACACTGATTCTCCAAACGTTTTTGCAACAATCACAATCCACCAAACCCACGTGCACATGGAACACTTATCCTGAACCACTACTAACTTACAGCAAAAAATACTCTGGAAATGTAACACAGTCTATTTTCTGGGTAGAATTTCATAAACTGATCAGAGAGCAGTGTAGTAAATGAGCAGGAAAAAGACTAATAGGGTGAGGGTTTCAAGGGTAACACATACAGCTGCTGCCCTGTGACACAAATCCATCTGACCAGCTTCATCTCTTTCTGTTTCCCTATATATCTCTCCTTTGCCATGGCCTTTTCATCATATATTTCTGGAATCTCGACATTTATTCATACTACAAATGCAAAATAGCACATTAAAAAATGAATTAATAGAAATTATTTCCAGCCTGGTATTTGGTATCATTTTTGAAAATGCCAATCTTGACTTTCAGGATATAGCTTAATAGTATGCACTATTTGAGGTCCTGGGTAGCAATACCAGCTGGTTATGACAATCAAGATTTATATCTTAACCTGATAAGTTTATACCTAGTGTCCCAAGGTCAGCAAAAGGATCCAGAGTCTGGGGTTTGTTTTGATGGGTAGGAGTGCCATGTGAGGATCCTGTTGGGCTGGTGGCAGCTGACTTGCTACCCATTCCAAAACCTCCTGAAAAGGAAATAAGATCATTAAAAATGAGTTAATTGTCCAAGGCTGAATTCTGCAATTCAGAATTTCAGAGCTACAGCTCAGTTGTCTGAGGAACATTAAGGTTTGGAAATGTGTCAGAAGTCTCTACTTGAGTGAGGGGTGACCTGGAGCAAGGACAAGTCACAGAACAAGCACAGGTCCTTTTCTGCCCATAATGTTAACATCACTTCCAGTATTTATCACTCATGTCTCCTGACTTGGTTCTTTCTTATGGGATTTGGAGTCAAGACTGCAACTGAATTCTGGCACTGTCACTCTCTAACTGAGTTAGTTACCTTGGGCATCTTGTTTAACACCTTTGAGCTTCAATATTTTTTCATTGTTTCTCTAAAAAGAGGAAATAATACAAAAACAAAATCACAAGCAATAAAGTAAAAAATGTAGATAAATGGAACTATTTCAAGTTTAGGGAAATAGTCAAGAGAATGAAAAGGTAAATTGTAGAATCAGGAAACTATTTATAACCATATATCTGATCAGAAGTTAGAATGCAGGACATATGAAGAGTTTCTACAACTCAATAACAAATCAACAAATAGACAAAGGACTCACACAGACCCTTCTCCAAAGAAGATTCACAAATGGCCACAAGCATATAAAAAGATTCTTGACATCACTAATTATTAGGGAAAAATAAACCAAAATGACAATGAGGTTATCACCTCATAACTGTTAGGATGGCCATTAGAAAAAATAGCAAGTGCTAGTGAGGATGTGAAGAAATTTCAACCCTTCTACTCTACTGGTGGGAATGTAAAATAATGCTGTCCCTGGGGAAAACAACATGAAGGCTCTTCAAAAATTAAAAGTACGACCACGACATGCTTCAGCAACGCCACTTCTGTGTATGCACTCAAGGAACTGAAAGCAGGACCTCAAAGCGGTATTTGCATATCCATGTTTATTAGAGATTTATTCACGACAGCCAAGAGATGGGAAGAATCTAAATGTCGATCAACAGATGGAGAAGATCTGGCATATGTATACAATGGAACGTTATTTAGCCTGAGAAGGATTTTATTATGTGCTTAACAAGAATGAACCTTAGAGCATTCTAAGATGCAAAAATAGCCAGTAACAAAATGACAAATGTAGTAAGGGTCCATTTATATAAGGCATCTAGAGTAGTTCAACTCATAAAGACCAAAACTAGAATGATGGTTACCAGAGACTGGGGAGAAAAAAAAGATGGGCTATTGTTACTTGGTGGGTATAGTGTTTGACTCATGCACGATGGGAGCAGGATTCTGGGTATCTGTTGTATAACAATATGTGTGTAGTTGACAATATTCTCCTGTTTGCTTGTAAACTGTAAGAAGGGAAAATTTTATGTTGTGATTTATTCTGTTTAAACCACAATAAAAACTTCAGAAAGTTGTGATAAGTACATTGTGTACACACATATCTTGTATGACATCAGAATGCAGTCACTCAAGACAGCTCTCAATAAATGTCACAGTAGCCATGAGGAGATCCAACTTATTACAGACAAATCCAACCTCAAAAAGTACTTTGTGAAGAATATTCAGCATCTTCTCTGTGCCAGAAACTCTCATTACACAATTGTGTGTGATAAAAATTACCATCTCCATATTTCAGATAAGAAAACTGAGGCTCAGATTTGTGCAAAAAACCTCACGCGTTTCTAAGTAGTAGAGTTCGAATACATCAGATCTGTCTGAATCTATTGTCAAGACAGATGTTCAGCAGATGAGACTGAGAAAAGTTAAATAATACACACTAAGTGCACAATCATGTCAGAAAAGCTCTGGCCAAATATGAATCCTTAGGAAATATCAACACAAATTACACAAGTGTGCTCTGGGTAACTGGTACTCTGCAAGTGCTCACTTCATCATGGTGAAGAAATTATGCTTTAGTGATTGGATAAGTGCTTACAAAAAATAACCTGCTGACCTTTACCTGGTTTAGTATGCCAGTCCCAACCTGCAGAAACATCTGGCTGAATGTTCACAGCAGGTGTGCTAGAAGCTGAAAGTGGAGAGAAATGAGAACAAAATAGCTCAGAACCCACTTTTCTGAGTTCACCCAGGATAAAACCATCCCTTCTACACCCTTCATGGCTTCTCAAGATCCCAACAGATGGCTTCTTCTTCTGAGCTTTTGCCTCACTCTGCAGCACTGGGGACTTTCTGCTTTCATTTATGAGCTCACACGAGGCTCAGTAGAAGCCATGTAATATTTATTGTCTCTGTGCTTTCTTTGGTTCACCTTTGTTTTACTTCCATATTCACATGCTTGGAATTACAACTGTGCATATGTCTCTCTTCATTAAATTGTGAGCCCCTCGAAGGCAAGAATTGTTCTACTCATCTGTGTGTGTCCCACCTGTACACTTAACAGTGGGTAACAAGAAAAGGGGAAAAATCCTTAAATCCAACTCACTTTAGCTTAGCATTAACAAGGGCACCAAAGTGTGACCCACTTAGATCTGATATTTTCTTTCCTCTTCTGCTGTGACACAAATTGATAATGATGAGTCATTCAGAATATGTACTGGTTACTAACTATCCACCACCCGCTATGCTGGTGACAGGATATATCTATTGTCACTCAAAAGAAGGCCATTACAGCTTCAAAATGGATTGTTCTGACCCTTCTCAAAACTCCAAACAGAATTTAGAAGAGATGTTCTGCTATAAAGAAGAATTTCTTTCTATGGTAACTTTAGGCTTTGTCCATAAAAATCAGTAAGAACAAATACTACGTTAATATTGCATATGGGATTGAAAACACACATACACACACAAACACACACACACACACCACCCAAAGAATGATCAAGACATCGGGATTAGCATTAGCCCCACCATGTTCACTGTTTTGCTTACTTAGTATGAACAATTACATCTTGTATCTTCCTACACTTAACTTAAAAAAAAGAACATACCACTAGCGACAATAACAGTTCTTTCCTTTCTACTCCCTCTGGTTTTTTTTTTTTTTTTGGGGGAGGGGGTATTGTTGTTATTGTCGTTTCGATTTTTTTGGTGGGTCTAGAGTTTGGACTCAGGGCTTCGTGTTTGCATAGCAGGCACTCAAAAAGCAGACTCTCTACCACTTGAGCCACGTCTCCCATTCATTTTGCTCTGTTTATTTTGGAGATGGGATTTCGAGAAATATTTGCCCAGGCTGACCTCAAACCATAATCCTCCCAACCTCAGCCTCCCAAGTAGCTACAATTATAGGCCCAACTTCTTCCTTTCTTTTCCTACAGCAACCCATGAAAATTGAGGTGGTAATTAGATAGTTTTACTGATATTTGTTATCTGATTCCTTCTTAGCTGTGATCTTAGTCTTACATCTATTAGGATACAGAAGGAGGCGTTAGAGCTGCATCCTTATTACTAATCAAGCCTACACATCTCAGCTGGAGGTGTGGCTCAAGTGGTAGAATGCCTGCTTTGCAAGTGTGAAGTCCTGAGTTCAAACCCCCTGTGTCACCAAAATAAATAAGTAAATAAAATTTTAACCGCCCCCCCCAAAAAAAAGCCTACACATCTCTTACAGCAACCTACCATATGCAAGTCATCACACCAGGAAGCAGAAACATAAAAGACATGTTGCCGTGCCCCTGGAAACTTAAAATATGCCAGAGATAGGAATATACAAATGAAAAAGTAAGTGCCTGATATTTAAATCATAATTTTGTACTTTATTATGGTTAGTTGCTTACTTGTGCTTTTAACACCATATCACAAGTGATTATTCTTTTAAGAGTAGATATTCAATATTTGTTTAATTCAAAGGTGGTATCTCTTGATTTCCAGAAGAGATTGGTGATGCCTTCTAGAAACTCAGGGGAAGCGTCCCAAGGATTTGACAGTGATCAGTCTGACCTCCCCACACTGACTTCTAAGTCTTACCTATGTGCTAACCTACACGGAGATGATGCAACTGGTTCACAAAGACTGAAATGATCATTTCTTTCCTACAAAGCATCATGGGAAATTCTCTTCACTCTCTGGCGTGATACAGACCAAAATGAGGAATGTGGCTACAAAGGAGTGCTAGCTGGCCTAAAATGGGTGGTAAACAACATGTTCCAACCCGCTCACCAGAACCAGAGTACTGGATCCATCCACTAGGCTGGAGTACTGACATCCATGTGCATGAGACATCAAACAATACTGCACAGAAGGGAGAAGGGTAAGGAAGAGTCATGGGGGCGGGGTTAGGCTGATTAAAGTACAATATATTTACAGGTAAAATCCCAAGGCAAAACCACACTGAACAATGAGCAGAGACTTGAACAATGAAGGACAGGAATGTAAAACAGGTCACGTTAAGGGGAAGGTGACTAATGGGAGGGGGAGGGTAAAGGAGGGAGAATATGATTAATGTGCTTTTATACATATATGAATATGGAACACTGAAAGCCGCTGAAGTCATTTTAAGAAGGGGTACAGGGAAGAGAAGAATAATGGAGGGGATGAATCTAGTCAGTGTACATTGTACGTATATATGAAGATGTCACAACACCCCTATACAGCTATTATATACTAAAAAAGGAAGAGTTAAAAACACTAGTACTCCTATCAAAGCAATAATTTCAAAGTATTAGAGTCAGGAAAAGTAACCTTATAGAGGATACTACCGTGCATCAAAGAAACATTGATAGGAAAAAATTTATTTATTTAATATTTATATATTAGAAACAAAGATAGGTAGCACCTACTGTGTCAGTAGTTCTCCCAGGCACTAAGGAAGCATCAATGAACAAACCAAACCAAAATCCCTGTGTTAATGAACCTCAGTCACACTTACAGCACACTCAAATCAGACTAGCCACATCTCAAGGGCTCTACAGCTGTGTGTGGCTAGAGACTATCACATTAGATGAAAGAGCTCCCCACATGAGGGTGGTGGGATCCCAAATTTCACTTGTGGAATACTAATTTCATGAAATGATAACATATTTTGTTAATTTAAGCTCTTATTTTTCCACATTTCAAAGATTTCTCCAATCAGGATGCACCTATCAATTAAAAAAGCAGTTTTAAAAAAAATTTTATTGGTACATAAAATACTGGCATCTCTTACAATCAATGGTACATTATGATTCTGTGTAAAAAAAAAGAAAAAAACTCCACAATCAAATAAGTTTTAGAAAAGCTGAGTAAAACAATGTTAAGCAAGCTTCTTTCCTATAAGACATCCCAGAGCTTTTAATATGTTAATGTGAATTGTTAATTTCCAAAGGGGAAAAACATTACATAGCTTCTCACACACACACAAAAGCACCTGCTGATGCTTTTATATCTGCACACTTCCTAGTATTCTGCAGAAACCTATGCTGCACTGAATGCAATGTAAGTCCTTACCATGCACTGTAGGTGAAGGACTTCTGGTGGGCTGTAGAAAGGGGTCACTGGAAGCACTGGATGTGCTCAGAAAAGAACCCAGCAAATCCTGATCTGACGGCTTAGAAGGTGCTCCAAACGGGTCAAAGGTGGTACCTAGAAAACAACAGGGAAAATGTATTTCTTAGTCCCATAAACTCACTTATTCTACAAATACCTGAGTTGCTACTATTGCTTGGCCCTAGGCCAAATACTTGAAAAATCAGTACAATGCCTGCCTGTTGGCTCCACAGGCCTTTCTATCCTGGTCTATCTTCCAGGGCTAACAATGGCCCCCCAGGATTTCTGACCACCAAAGAATAATCCCACATTTATAGACAAAGGAAGAAGCTGGACTTATTTATGAGATAAATCATAAATAGATTATAAATGAGGGGCCTTTAAAATCTTAATAATGCAAAATCAGCCAATCCAGATTACAGACTAGGTGAAAAGACAAGGTCACCAGTGATGACTCCATGAGTACCTAAATCATGCATGCACTGTAGGAGGTGTTTAGTGACCAAACTCTGCTTACGATGAGTGTTCACATTCAACGAAGCAATGGGCAAAGACCAGACAGAAGGGCTCTGCTATTAAGATGAACAAAAGAAAACCCCACTCACTAGGTTTTTTAGTTTTGTTTTTAGTGGTCTCTGGCTCACTTGAAGGTTTTAAAAACAATAAAATGAGAGTAGTGAATAAAACTGAATTCTCATACTGTCTTACATGTATGAAACTCAAATATATTTCTCAGCAAGCTATAGCAACTAGATTCATTGAAGTAAGGAAAAATTTGTGAATGAATTAAGAAAACTGAAGAAAGCAGGAAACCACAGTTGCTAAAAATAATGCCTGCAACAACTACCACTATTGTCCTTTCTGAGGATTGCACTGTCTTTCACGAAGATCTCAGCTGACCCCCAATTCTGCCCTGTCAGATAGAAGTGGATAATGAAACTGAAGCTCAGAAAGAACCTCAGAAACTTAGCTTCTTTCCCAAGATCAGGAACATAAGAAAACTGGAAAAAAAATTTAAAGTAAGAGCATGGAGGTCAAATATCCACTCTTACACTGTTCTACAAAAATAGACAATATTTCTATTTTCTCTTGTGTTCTCCATGTAAGGGGACCTAAATATAGACTTCTAAGAGCAGTTCAATTCTGTGTGCTTGACCCAAAAATTAGAATTCAAACCTGAGAAGTATAGCACACCAGGGAAACAATTACCTTCTCCCACTCGAAGGGTTGGTGACGCGGAGGTGGAGGTGGTGGAACGGCGTGGCGTTGACTGGGTGGATCCGGGTCCACTAGGATGAAACACGTCCTCCACCCCTGACTGTCCAGCCTGGGCAGGACCAGCCGCACCTCCGCCGCCAAATAGGTCACTCAGTAGTTCAGAATTGGTGGGAGGAGCCGCGGGCGGAGAGAAGTTCTTACTCAGGTCGGACCCCTCCAAGCCCAGAAGGTCCACCTCTTCCGCAGGTGGAGGGGCAGCTGGCTCCTGCTGCTTTTTGCTGGGCCTCTTGGCTCCGTGATGTTTGTCACCATTGGCATTGCCGTGCGGACTAGAAAGGGTTAGGAGTTCATCATCCGATTGCTCACTTTCCTGATTCACTAGTGCTGCGTGGTCCTCCTCACAGAGCGATTTCTCTGCTTTCTGATCTAAGAAAAGCCAGTAGGCCAATAAATGGTTACTAACAGCAGCATCTCAATGCTGAGTATTATTACTATTATTAATTGCCAGGCACACTGATAGGTGCTTTGGAAAACAACAATAGTAACTCCAAGTTTCACTGACTTTTAATTTTCCAGGTGACTGCAGGCAAAAGCAAGCCCTTTCTGTAGTCCAAAGCAAAATGACTCACACACTACTAGGTAAACAGAATGGCTCTGCTTCAAATCATCCTTTAGCCATCCCAAAAGCAAACAGATGGGCCCAGGAAGAAGGTCTCTTGTGGGAAAAGAATGGAGAGCCAGGGAGTGACTTGCCTGGCCCTACTTCAGACAGTCTTCACAGAACTTTGTTATTTAATAACACATTCCAAATCAGGTACAGTCCCACACCCCTCATCCTTAATTCTGAAATGCAAAAGGCTATGGGAAAGGAAAGGCTTTCCTACCTTCAGTGTAAATTCAGCTGGCAAAAAAAACCTGATCTTAATATGCATGATTACAGGTTGTTCTCTGAGCTGCCACTGGGGATGTTAAGTAATAGATAACTTATGTGCCATATCACCTTTATAAAAATGCAAAAAGTCTGCATTTCTAAGCATATCTGGCTCAGAGAGGTTCAGGTAAGAGATTGTGCACCTGTGCTAAACCTATTTCAGAGAGTGACTAGACACATTACTTGTAAATTACTTACTAAAATGGCAATGGAAAGAGTGAAGTTTTATTAAAAGCCCTTGCTGTGAGGAAGGAAAGAAGTAAGGAAAACCAAGAAAGAGCTGCAAAATCCACGTGCTGTCTGGATTTGACTCGGTCCTCCAAGTTTGAGATGTTTTTGGTCCTATTTCTCAAAATAAAATTCTGAAAGTCTACTTTTAATTCAAAGGATTTTATGAATAATTGCTTCACAAAACACTGAAAATTGCTATATCAACAGAAGTAGTATCTTACATTCACAAATCAGAGGCAGATCAAGAGAACTTTAGCAAGACCATCCCCAAAGTCTTATGTAATGTCCTGACTTCTCAATTTCACACCAAACTTTGCAGTTAATCTCAGCAAATTCTAAAGCAAGAATGTGTGTTCACGTGCATGGAAGCAACTCTAGGAATCTCTCTGTTTATCTCAAACTAGCAAAAACGCTATGTCTTTATTATTATCTCCTATGTTTGTTTTCAACAAAAACGGAAAACAAGAGGCCGGAACAGGTTCTGCCCAGAAGCTGGAGGGGTGGGGAGGTGGCACAAACTATGTATACACATGTAAGTAAATGTAAAAACAATAAAATAAAAGGAGAAAGTAAAAAAAAAGAATGGCAATCTACAGATGGTTAGCAGTCTGAAGTGATATGTTGAGAAGAATTCTGAAAATCTCTCCAGGGTCAGGAGAAAAGAATACGGTGATGGAGCCCTGATTTCTGCTAATGGTTTTAAAGCAAGTAGCAGAGATACAAGTCAAGTGTTTGTTTTCCCTATGCCAGGTAAGCCCCCTTCTGCCTTGCCAATGACTACAGCAAACTGGGAGAAACACTCGACTTTACATTTTTAGAATATTTAGTTGAAGGCAAGAAATAGACTCCTTTATTGATGTCTTTGTGTTGTCAGCAGTCTAAAGGGAGATCTTAGAAAATATCACACTTATATGTCAATCTGGAAAAGATGTGGTCCAGAACACAGTGTAGAGAGAGAATGTAGGATTTACCATAAGAAGGTCTTTTGCATGGAGTTGAACAAAGGGAGTTGCCTCATCTGAAAAAGTAGTGAAAGGTGTGAAACAAGGAGGAAGGAATCTGGTTGAGTTCTAAGTGCTGTTTTAATGTGAATTGCTTCAGGGACTAAATGTCTTTTAAAAAGAACCACCTAACTTAATCTCATAATCAGCTAATCCTATAATTTACGGAAATACTTGGAAGAGTGTGAAAGGGGGTAAAAGAAAGGGAAGGGAAGGGATGGAACTGCTTGGAGTACCTTGCCAACAGAGAGAGGCAAAGAAGCCACCTTGCCCAACATGCCTGGGGTTGTCTGGAGGGATATCTATTGGAGCCTGTCCTGCAAAACAAAAGGCCATGAGGCATCAATGAAACACAGGAAATAAGGCAATGTAATAAGAAATACCAAGACTTTTCCTGAAAACCAAAACCAGCAGGTATCCATACCTCCCAAGGCCAGAGTATCTTGATGTTCCTGGTGAGAAGAGAAGAGAATGCTAGGGTTGACATCTTTTGTGCAGTAATGCTCCCATGGTGGGGTTAAGTCTACCGCTTTGTCATGGGGCTGTAGTTCTACATCCAACATCACCTGAAATAGCTGAGGATATTTTTCTGGTACATCACATGCATCCAATTCAGGCCTAAATGGAGATTTAAAAGAGTGACACCAGTGAAAAACAGTGGAACCAGAATGATGATCAGCACAGAAGTGATCTTAGGATGACTTTTAGGTTAAAAGAAACTCATTTCTAGGGAAGACTCAATTGTTAACTAGGTATGTTGCTTTGCTTTTCTGTGCCTTGGTTTCCTCATCTAGAGAAAAGAAGAGAATAACACCTGTTCAAAGAATTTGGACACTAATATATGTTAAATCATTCTGGAAAACAGAGCTGATACATCCAGCCAGTATGCACTAGCATGGCCCATAGCCACCATTCTGAGCCCTTGATTGTCTACCCCTATCCTGGTTTACGCAACACCCACCTTTCCCCAGCTTCAGCCACCCTGCCGACTTTCCTAGCCAATCTATGATATAGCAACTAAAGAGCAATGTCAGATGCAAAGGGGTCCTCTTGTGGTATGACCTCAGTGGTATGGCCAGGCATCCATTCTAATGGGTCATGGCTAATTACACACGATTGGTTGAACTGCCATCCTGTGGCAAACACAGGGATACACAAATGCAAAGGATCAAAGTCATAATACATTGTTCCCTTGTGTTCCCTCACATAGAATTTTAGACCATTCTGGTTGAAGTGTTTGATCCATTTGTACCTCTTAAGACAAATCATACTTAATTAAAAGATTTAAAAAACAGCCAGCCTCTCAGTACGGTGAAGCTACACTCAACAGTCCTACTCCAGAACACAGGACTCTGGGAGACACTGCAGCATGGCACTAAAGAGGCTCAGAGCTTCACAGCCATACCGGTGAGAAAAGACCTTTGTCTAAGCAGCACTTACTTGGTGAACTTTAAAACTGTTGTGTCCAGGGGTATGAATCCAGAATGGAACTGGAGCTGGAATATCTGTGTGTTGGTCACCTGAAAATATGTGAGAGAAGCACATTACAATCCATCAGAGAAAAAGGAAAATCTGAAGGTCTGGGGACATGGCTCAAGTGGTAGAGCACCTGCCTAGCAAGTGTGAGGCCCTGAGTTCAAACCCCAGTTCTGCCAAAAAAGCGGGAGTAGTAATCAAACCCAGAGATCGTATTTTGGGGAACCATATTTCTACAGCTGATTCTTTGTTTTCTATGAATACTAAATGATCTCCCAGCTTCCTTTCTAGCCTCTACCCTCTGTGAGCTCTGCCTCAGCAAGCTGGTTCCTCATTTACTGATGTTCCATGCTTACGCCTTTTCCCCAGGACACTGTTCCAGCCAGTCTGAACTCATCCTTCAAGGTCTACCTTGAAGGTCATCATGCTCTCTGTAGATTATCTGGGCCACCACTGGCTAAAACAAACTGTTCTCATTACAGCACTTCATCTTCCCTTTAAAATGGTACTATGGATACTTGGACATGTAAATTTCCCCTCTAGGCAGAATTTCTTAAAGGAAACAACATAGCCTCAGTCTAGTCTATCCTAAACATGAAGGCAATGGTTGGAACAGAGCATGAATTCAGTAAATATTTGATTAATTAAAACACAATCACTTGCAACACCATTCCTAGCATCCAGAGTGGCAATAACTCAAATAACTATCAACCGGTGGCGAGATTAATAAAATGTGGTATACAATGGAATATTACTTAGCTATAAAGGGCAAGAAAGTACTGATACATGCTGTCACATTGATAACCCTACAAAATAATATGCTAAGTGAAACAGTCAGCTGCAAGAGACCACATATTATATGATTCCATTTACACGAAATGTCCAAAATATATTAGGACAGAAAGGAGATGGGGAAAGGAAAATGAGTGGTAACTGCTAATGGGTACAAGGTTTCTCTTAAGTCAGGTAAAAATGTTCTGGAATTTGATAGTTGTGGTGGTTACGCAACCTTTTGAATATACTTAAAACCAATGCACTGTGTACTTTAAAAAGATGGCTTTTATGTAATGTGAATTTCATTTCCGTAAAAAACTAATTTTTTCACATCACATTCTTAGTTGAAATCTCACCCCTTAAGCTAATCCAAACAGAACACTGTAAGAAAGGCACAGCTTCTAAAGAACATGGCAGGGTAAAAGTTCCAGGGCTACCACAGCAATCACGCCAAGGACTTTGGGCAAGTAACAAGCTCTCTGACTCGGTTTCCTCCCCTATAAAATGAGGGAGATGGATGTAAACATCTTTACAGGCTCTTTCTTGTTCCAAATGCAAGTTACTAAAGCCCAAAGGACTGGGAGAAGAGATTCAGGAGTACCCTACTAAAATCTCAGAGGAGCTAATGCCATGATTCTTTGTGAAAGCTTACCTTAGCCTGCAGCCGGCTCCCGATGGTTGACCTCAAGTGGTACATAGAAACAATCACGTCTCCTTGTACAGTGATGTTCAAAGGAATGAAGATTTTTCCATCTTGCACACGGTATTCTCTTGAAATAGACATCAAAATAGACATTGGAAGAGAGTCTAATATGGTACAGTCACAGAAATACAGGTATAGCCCTCTGTGGCTCTGACCAAAGGACCTGTTTGCCCAGGCCTGGACCCAAAAAAACACTTCCTATTTGAGCAAAATCAGGAGTACAGTCAAAGGACTCCTAGGTGCAGACTGGTTCTACAATGGGAGAGCACTGGTCTGATGCAGGCCCTCTCCATCCTGACTGGACTCCAGGTAGTGTATCTGCTTATCAGACCCTTTCTTTTCTTCAAATGCATCACCCTTCATATGCTTAGCTTTTCCTAATCTTAAATAGTAAAGGTAGGTAAAGGGAACAAAAATCCAACCAAGATCTGTTTAGAAATAGAAATGCCATGCTCTATGAGGGTCTTGAATGCTAATCCCCCAATTCAACCTATTCCCAACTAATTTCATTTTATGTTACCACCCATTCTCTTCTCTCCAACCTCTCCAAGACCTCCCACTGGCATTAGGGATCCTATAAATTCTTTAATTAAATCACCATCTACCTAACTGTTCACCTAGAAACCTCATTCATTTCTGATTTACCAAATTCCATCAAAGCCATCTCCTTCCTAAATGTCTCTGTTCTCCTACCTCCATTGTCTTAATGCTTGCTATAGTTCATGCCAGTTCCTTAGCCTATAGCACCATTCGATGTGAAAAGGAGCTACAGCATCCTGGGATTTAGTTGGGCTTGTCTATGATCACTACTGCTGTCAATCTTTTTTTTTTAATTAGTCATTTCACAGTGCTATAGTCCTGCAGAAAAAATATAATCCAATTTACATAGGAATTGACCAGTACACAAGAAGAAGTGAAGAAAAATATCATAACTTACTTCATTCGTTCAAAATCTGTGCAGGTTGAATATATTTTGGTTTCTCCAAGCAGAACATCACAGTAAGGGCGACATCCATTTCTCTGCTTGTTGAAAAAAGGGATTGGACTGACAGTGATCGCCTTGATGGTGAGAGGCTTGAAGTGAGGACGGTAGGGTTTGTCTGCCAGTAGGTCACACATATAGCCCAGATATCTGAAACATGAGATTGCTATTCTGTGAGGCCCATCACACCAGAGTAAATGAGCAATCTTTGCTATGAAGTTTGTTGTTGCAATAAAAATTTACTAGCATTAGCAAAAGAGAAAGCAGAGTTTTTATCCACTGACACCATTATACTCCCAAAGACCAGATAAAGGGGTATTTATTAAATAAAAAAAAAAGTTTATAGGCACCAAGCGTGATGCACACCTGTAATTCCAGCACTTAGGAGGCTGAGACAAGAAGATAGAAAGTTCCAGGCCAACCTGGGCTACATAGCAAGAACCTGTTGCCAAAACAATAAATGAAACAAAAGCTTATGGGAGCTTTACACTAGCTCAATATCTGAACACCTATTCCTGTTTTATTCAGCAGATTAAGTTTATCAACAAAATGCTGATTTGGGATAAATTTTAGGATTTTATTATCAAAAGTACTTCCTTTGTTATTACTGTTGTGCTGAGGGTACTTGTGATGCTTACAAAAATTCTTACAATATATCAGATATATCATAGTTGAATTCACCTCCTTTATCATTCTCCTTTATGAAGTACTTCCAATTCAAAAAAAAATAAGAAGATGCAATTTAAGTAGGAATAAAGGAAATAAATTATGACTATAGGAAAGGAAATTAATCAGTTATCCTTTGTCCCTATATCTCAGTCATAAGAGAAGTCTGTCTTAAAACTTATTCTCTTTTGAGTTTCTTCTTGTTAATCATGTCTCCCACATGATGATCACCAGGGGAAAGTATAACCAGCTACTGCTTGCATTTCAGTGAAGATCTAAATAATGAAACAAAAAAGGGACTGCTCTTAGGGCTTGGGATCAGAGACAATGGCATGCCTACATCAATCAGGTATTTTAACAGACCTGGGCAAATCTGAACCGTTGTCAGTCCAATATTCTCTCCTATAAAATGAGGGAAGTAGACATAAGTATTCTGGAAAGTTTCCTTCTCATTTTAAAATAACCAACTTTCATATAGGGGTTTTAAAAACTATATGAAAACCCAATATCCTAATCCAGTTTAATTATTTCCACAGATCAGCATAATGCTAAATGTTCCTATGAGACAGATGTCAAACAGTACATGGTACCCATTGGGCCACACTTGCACCAACCATGTCCCTAGCTTACTATACCTCCTGTGGGATGGCGACAGTCCAATTCCTGGTCGCTTTGCATAGAGCAATCGAACGGCGGGGCCAGGAGTAGAGTAGAGATTACAGAAAATAAACATAGCACCAACCAGAATTGACGATGCCGCCCGTCCATCCTGTCAAAGAAGACACATAAACTCACTAGGAGCAGATCAAATCTGAGAATACCTGTACTTGCAATTCACAGAGAAAAGGGGTAGGGTGGGGGCGGAGTGGATCCTCTTACCTGGACGTGACTTTCATTTCAGAATTGTTCATTTGAAAACCAATATCTTTCCTGGTTTTCAAGTCACAAAGCAGCAAGGGAAGGCTTTTTTTCCTTAGGATAAAACTGACTATATATTTACCCAAGAAATCCAGCAAAATTAATTTGACTTGCACATATTTGCTGAAAAATAATATAATCTTCAAAGTAACTTTGGACTTACTGTATCCAACTATTAGTTGGAGGCTCTTGGTTTAGGACTGGAAGTAAAGAGCTCAGGTTAGGTAAATGCTGCTTGTTGGGATGCTATATATATATATATATATATATATACACTTCACTCAAAGTATGTTCCTACTCAATGTAAAAATTTCACCTCATTCAATATAATCTGTTATGGACTGAATCCCTGTGTCTTCCAACCCCATTGTGATGGTATTAGGAAGTAGAAATCTGGGGGTTAATTAGGTCATGAAGGTACCGCCATCATGAATGAGATTAATGCCCTTCCAAGAAGAGGGCTTGCTCAGCCTTTCCCCCTCCCACCACCCTCCCTTCTTCTCTCCTCCACATCTCTCCCTCTCCTTCTCCCTCTCTCTGCTTTCAGCCATGTGAGGACACAAGGAGATGACAGACATCTACCACCCAGGAAGAATCCCTGATCAGATACTGGATCTGCAGACACCCTGATCTTGGGCTCATCGCCTCCAGAATTACGAGGGAAAAAATCCTCTGTTTAGGTCACTCTGTCCATATTGTACTTGTTGTAGCAGCCTGAGTTGACTAAGACAACAGTTAGTAACTCTCCTGACAGTTGGTGACTCGGAGTCTTTTAGATTACTCTAAGTGATAAGGATATTAATGCTACTTGAAGTGGCCCACTCCAGTTTACAAAGTGTTTCCTTATACTGAATGTGTTGAATCAAAGTCAATTTCTCCAGGGCTGGTAGCAGGGTTCAGGTGATAGAATTCTTGCCTAGCAAGCACAAGACCCTGAATTCAAGCCCCAGGACCATCAAAAAAATAAGTCTATTCCTCCACAGTTTTTACTCAATGATTTTCATTCTTCCTTCTGTAAGAACAAAAGAATAAACCTACTTTCTCACTGTGAGAGCCCTTAACACATCAGAAATGCTTTCCCTTTCCACCAACACTTCTGTTTTCCAAGTTAGAGCAAGCCTAATCCCTTTGATTCTTCCTCCTTTGACATTCCATTCTAAGAAATATTATAATTTAGTGCATTTCCTCTGAACAGACTCAAGTTTTAAAACATCAGCCTTTAAAGGTGCTGTCCAGATGTCAAACGCAAAATGTGAAATGAACTCTGAACAACTAGAAAAGAAATATCACCTTCCTTAGTCTGGACACTGTGGTTTTATAACATAACCCCAGGCCAGGTAAGTACAATGCAGGCTAAGTCACTTCATAAATTCATATTGATCTCTGTATCCATTAAAACCCCTAGTTCTTCCTCAGATGATCTGTTAAGCTAATAGACAATTATGCTTAATCTTTTAGAACAAGAATTCTGGGCTATGCATTTAATTTCACATTGCTAATTTCTGTTAAACAACCAAACTACAAGAATGATTAAAATCCAGGTTGACTATGTAACCATCTCAATTATGAAAAAAACCAATAAGCTTGATTCCACATCTTCATCAAAGTTATTGATTTATAAAAGTAAATTTTCCCATAAGGATGTTGATCTATTAGTTACCTACCTTTAGAAACAGATATTTGGTCATAACCTAATTTAATATGTAGCAATTTAACCCAAATTTCTCCATCTTGACCATAAGAAACTAGGAAAACTCATGCAGGAATTCAATAAACTATCTCACCCAGTCTGCTAGCCTTGCTTCACAGTTGGTGTGTTGTTTGTGTTCACGAGTCCATATGGACTCTTTTTTTTTTTTTTTGAGGAGTTAAAAATCATCTGTGCAAAGATTCATTAGAATTTTTGCTTTGAAGTACCATTAGGCTCCCTAGCCAGGACCAACTTCTTCCATCTTTGAGGGGAAATCCCCTCTCTTCACTTGCCTGGTACGTCTTCTCATTCCCTGATAGAACAGGGAAGCCACAATTGCTTCTCCAAGTGCTTTCACCAATCTGCCACATAATTTAAGTACTATGAAACCCTCCTACTTTCTCACTACCTATCGGCCTTGTCCTAATTATCATGTTATCCCCTTCTTGCTTAATATTTAGTCCTATGAAAAAAAAGAAACAGAATAAAGGTGTGAGGATTATACCTGTGCCTCAAGAATTTGTTGTTGGCCTTATTCTGTATACAACTAGAAGAAAGTAGTTTTTCTCAAACATCATTCTCTTTAGAATTTAGCCTTCCTGACACTCTCAATGAGTCCATGGTTCTTGGATATGTGTCCCTTCCTTCTACTTATCGTGCAGTTCTTTCTAAAAGTTTTATTTTTATTAAAGGACTGGTATATGCTTGTTATTTTTTACGAATGTGGAGTACACATAGGGCAAGTTGAAGCAGTCGTCCATAGCTTCAACTCCATTTCCAAGACTGGTATAGACGTCCAACTCAGATGTGTCCTTTATAATGGAAGCCATAGAACATATTGTCAAACCACAGTTTTTTGTCAGCCTCTTCTCTTTTCTTCTTCATGGGATTTTTATTCTTTATGCTTGTACCATTCGAACTGGAAGTCTGAAGTCTTTCTTGAGTCATTACACAGTTGTCAGACCCAGGCCTCTCTGAAGTTTTAGAAGATTTTTGAGGGAAAATTACCAATGCACTTAAGGCTGTTTTGTGTCTGAAAAGTAATCCTGTTCTGTTGTGTAATCTGCTGTGCCTACAAAAGGAAAACCTTATAGCCTTTGACATTAAATTCTTACAAACACCAAGTGTTTTGCCTGATTGCCAAGTATTTGGGACTTGAAATAGAAAGAAAAAAATGTTCTTCAACTTTCTTCCCTGCCTCAGCCAGCTGGCTCTCAAGGAGGAGGAGGAAAACAATCCAGTAACATCATAGTAAATATATATATATATGTATATATACATATACCGAAGTTGTTAAAGCAGTAGATTATTTCCAGTGCTTATGATCAGACTCCATTGGTGCATTCACTTGTTTATATACTCAGTCACTTATTCAAACCCTTTGTGCCTGAGTTACAAGGGTAAAAGAAAAGGGGCACAGTTCTTTTCCTTTAAGATAATAATCTAGTGGGAAAGCAGGAAGAAGAACAGCTTAGTATGACACAGTATATTAAATGCCACAGAAGATGTTTAGATACATAATAGAAATGTCTGTCTTGTGAAAAATACTCAAGAGATTAAGATTTCACTGAGTGTTGAGCTTTAAAGGACAGGTAAAATGCCTGAGAAGAAGGGTTGGGGAAAGGGACTCTAGGAAGTCAAGAGCCAGAAAAAAATCATCAGTCCCATTGGTAACTGCTCTAAAATGCAGTCAATCTATGTAACTACTTACAAGGGCATACATGCCTTTTTTTTAAAACTTATTTTTACTCAAAGGAAAGTAGTAAGAAAAAAATAAACATGCCAATATGTTCATGTCAATTTTATTCATACAAAACTCATTCTTACCTGTGTACCCACAGCTCTTGCTTCTACCTCCTTTTTTTAATAATATTTAGCATTTTTATAGTCTCCAAGTAATGTAGTTTATGAATATATCTGCCTCTCCCACTAGTACTCAAACTTTTAACAATTCTTCCCTCCTTTTTACATCCTTCACATTACCAAACTACACAGGGGCTCAGTAAATGCTGTTGAACTCAAATGTTACCTGTCCACCATTCTGGATAGAGCCACCATTTCTGACCAAGCCAAACCACAACCACCAGCAACAAAGATGACTCACCAAGCAGTGGACAACGCAGACGTTTTTGGGATTCTGTAGCAGCCAATTATACATATTCCGACACACAGCAAAGAGGTTGTGCAGACTTGGGGCCTGCCTAATGGGCCAACTGCATTCTGAGACCTAAGGGAACATAGCAAAAGGAAATGAATTCCCCCATCAACTTACTCCCAAAAACTGGTATCACCCCAAATGCCTTCTGGAACTGACACTACATCTTCTTTTAATATAGCCAGGAAGAGTTGGGATCAGGGTCTAAATGCAGAAAGAACAAAACTTAATACCTTAATATTTTATATTAAAAAATCCATTTCAGTAAAGATACGAAAACACTTTTAGGATATATTTTAAATTAAATTAGGCCATTTATACATCATACCTGCATATTTCTAGTCTCTTAGATAACATAGAATTTGGTTTCCATTAAGTATAAATGTTTTGACTAGATGTTTAACTATAGGATCATCTTACAAATCCTGCTCTATTCCTAATTTTATCTCAGCTCTCGTGATAATATGGGAAGTGCTGTATAGTAAGCAGGCTTATGGACGAGTCTTATTTTTCTCTTTGAGTGAAGGGACCCACAACTCCACAGGCAAAATCTTTTGTAGCTTCATTTTTCTTTAACATTTACATTCATTTAACATGCTAGATGGCATCAACTACGTTCCAGGAATGCTGCTTGGCCTGACCTATACAACAGTCAGATGAGGCAGGTATGATCCCCACTTTTTAGGTGAGAAAGGTGACTCACAAAGGTGATTTGTCCCCAGCCACACTGCTGATCAGAGCCAGCACTGCAACCCAGATCTTCTGAATATTAATCACTGGGCTTTAGCAGCATGCTGGTTGAAATTTATCATTTGTTGAAAAATACTAGGCCTAACCCCCAACTGATTAGATATTTACTAATTTAACTGAGAAATAATAAGGAGGATCTTAAACTCAGACAAACTTCATAATACCTTTAGATCTTTCTTTTGTCATACAATGTGCTGAACAGTACCTCCCCATGTACCTCACAGGGTTGTGGATATTCCACAGGGTTTATCTTAGAATCTGACATACAAAAAGTGATCCATAAATGTTAGCAATTACTATTATTGTTTTATCAACTAACTACCAATTCAAAGCTCTGAAGTCAAATGCATACTGCTATGGATTAAAAAAAAAAATGAATGAAGCCCTGACTGGTGAGACTACAGACTGAAGGGCCAGTCTGAAGGTAGGAGAATATTTGAGAAGCTGAGTAGCTCTCAGATGTGCATTTTTCCAAAGGTCTATCAAGCTATCACATGGAGAATGGTGATAGATGACAAGGGATTAATGGCAGGGAGACCAGTCAGGAAGCTGTTGAGGAATTGAAGCAAGGGATGATGGCGGCTATAGGCTAGCTGAGTGGCAGTGTGTACAAACATACCTGAGGGACTCAAGAGACAGACAGGAAATGGAATACCTGTACCCAGACTTCATAACTGATCATATGGTGGTAGTGTGCACATGGAGAAGAATCTACTTAAGAGGAAATGGCGAGAGGAATCAAGGATGATGCCCGTGATTCTTGCTTGGATGACCAGACAAAAGAATAGAAGCCCTGGTCGTGGTGACACATGCTGGTAATCAGTGAGGCAAAGAGGATGAGGCAGGAGGGTCACAAGTTTGAGGCCAGCCTGGGCTACACTTTAAAAGCTGGCAGAATGACTCAAGTGGTAAAACACCTGCTTAGCAAGTGTGAGGCCCTGAGTTTAAAACCCAAGTACAGAAGAGGAGAAGAACAAGGAGGAGGAGGAGGAAGAGGTGGAGAGAGGAAAGGAAGGAAGGAAGAAAAGAGAAAGAGGTATTATTTACTGAGATACAATTCTGAAGAAAGATCAGGTTTTACATAGATGACTTCCTCAAGATGTGCTCTTCAATGCCAACACCACTGGCCTAAGAAAACCCAAATGTCTCAAATCCCTTATGTTAAGCATTTGGAAATGTCTTTGGTTGGCTCTTTTCTAGTCACCAGATAGCTAAAATATAAATATAAGTGGGAAATTATCTGTGGTCTCTGTAGTACTAACCCTTATTCTTTATGGTCAATTTGTAACTTTTTTATGTAAGATGATTGTGGGGTGAAGGAGACCTTTCAGATTACCCATATTTGCGAACATTTGGGGATGACAGGTATGCTTTATTTAATGAAGTATTTGAAATGTTTGATGTGACTACAACCAATGCAGGGGTGATCCACTATTGGGTCTCTGTCAATTGGCTTGCACAATGAAGCCAACACACTCAATGTGGCCTATTTCTGACCCTTTCTTTATCTCCAGTATATTCCCGATTGATGATTTTTCAAGGGATAGAAATGACTTACCGAATGAAAAATTTTAAAAGTGCAAAGATAATTTATGCTGTCAGAAGAATTACAAAATATATATTTGTATAAACGGTTTTGCTATACAATGTTTCTCTTCCCCTGGTAAACTCCTGCTAATCTTTTAAAACCCAAGTTCAAGTGTGCTCTCATCTCTGACACTTTTTCTAACACACACACACAGAAGCGATCAGTTTTCTACTAATGTCTTTGTCTATTTTCATCTATTACAGTTTTTGTTTTGCTTTGTTTGGCAGTTATGGGATTTGAACTCAGGGCCTCTCCTCTTGTTAGGTAGGCGCTCTACTACTTGAGCCACTCCACCAGCAACATGGATAATGACAAAGGCTGAGTTTTCACCCTGGATTTACCACTTACTACTTCTCCAGGCCTCAATTTACTTGTGTGTAAAGTGAATGTGCATATTATAGGATTGTGGTGAGGATTAAGTAGCACAATGGAAACACATTTAAATGCCAGATATCTTCCTGATCTATAGAATTGGCTGTTTATGTCTGTCTCCCTCTGTAGTACCTGAATTCCATGAGAAGAGAGACCATAATGTCTTCATTTTTGTAACCTCAGCATCTGTTGTCCATGTGTTGCAGAAGGTAGGTACTTAGTACGTATTTGCTGAGCAAATGAATGAGTGAAAGAATAAAGAAAAGAGTCCCTTTTGGCATCTCTTTTTCTAATAAGACTTGTCTACATGTACTACATCTTCAGAAAGGAACAGGTGAATCAAATTTGTTGGGTTTTTAAGATTACAACAGAGAAAAAGTATACAAAATTATTTTGCCAGGCAATATTTTTAAAGGTTTTAAAACTGTATGCTACCCACCCACACAGCAAATATCAACACCTGTAATATGTCTCAGCCAAAAGTTGGCTAAATTGTTCTTAGCACAATAGGCTAACAGCTCTAGAATTGTTAAGTCAATCAAGCAAATAATATTAATTTAAAGTATTCCATAATTATATGTTCACTTTTCTATGTAATTATACACCATTAAGCAAACACATAATTAGAATTTTTTAAAAGCATGTGCTCTTTCTAAAGAGGGAAAACACAAAGATATAAACAAAACCCAAACAAAAAGTTTTAAAGGAATTGAATTACGGCAAGCTCTCTCTGCAGCTCTGTGCTTATGTGCTAAGCACGACCTCTGGCTATATGAAACTTTATTGCCATCTCAGCCTCCCTGACCCCTGGAGTCGCAAGCATCAGAACATCTTGTCAATTACAAGGCTGTTATGATCCCGCCCAGTTGGAGAAGAGGCCACACCATCACCAGAGATGGGTGCCATTCCACCGTCACCTCTCTATTACCCCAGCACAAGACAGTATGGCCAGAAACGTCCCACATTCTAGGAATGGAAGCAGGGTGACAGAGAATCAGTCTGGTGTATCATATCCAGATATGATGTGCCATATCATCATCTATTATTGCCAGTGTTAATCATAGTTACCACTTACTGAGTGCTGGCTCCATGCCAGGCACTGCTAATCAAATTTATTCCTTACAATAAACCCACAGACAAAAATTTAAGAGTACTTGTATGCTAGGTACTCTTATTGTCCTCATTTTACACAAGAGATAACTGAGTTCAAAGAGAGGTGAAGTGACTTATTCAGGAAGAGGAAGAGTTGAGAGGTAAATGTAGGGTAATTTTTTAAGTTTAAAATTTGTGTAGATTATAGGATTTTGTTTCAAAAATGATAAAAAGTAGTTTGTGTATTCCCTCCTGTACTATCCTGTCTAATGGTTATTAACAAGAAGTCCATCTTGCCATTTGTACAAGGTGATAGCATCAAGTGGTAGCTATATTTCATCAAGGTAAGAGCTTCAGTTCACCTAAGGCAGCAAACTAGGTTGTGGGATCCTTGCCCCTGGGCTCCCAGGCTAAGGGAGCATCACTATTTCCTGTCCTGGCACTAGTGCATGGAGTCAGAGGGAGAGATGAAATGTGAGCTGTATGGTCATTCCTCAATAGACATCGCCTCACCACTCCCAAACCTAATCAAAAACCACTGGGCACTATGGGGACCTCTTCAGTAGACTCTGGAAGGAGAAAGGGGGAAGATAGTGACTTTCGGTCATAAGCCCTTTAAGAAGCCCAAATTGATAGTACATTTTCCAAAAATCAAATTGTTCCCAAAGGTGAAGAAATCCTATGAGACTGTATGGTTCAGAAATAATCAACATGAAAGCAGAGTCTAAAAGAGGCAGCTGGACAACTGGCTTCCATGCTACTGACAGGGTTCCTTCCTTATACTGTGTCTTTCCTGGACAGGCAGAGGAAGAGTGGGAGAGGGTCAAGGTAGCACTGGAACAGCATTACTCAGAACTCAGTAATGTTAGGGAAAAGTTAGACTTCATGCCCTTTCATCTGCTTTTGGTTTTGTTTTTGTTTTTCAATGACAATGCCAAGAAATGAGTAAAGTAATGGTTCTTTACTCTGGGGGCGTGGCTACAAACCTTTGCAGAAGCCAAAGCAATCTACACACCCATGTAGTGGATGGATACAGGTTTACATTAGCTATAGGTAGTGAAGATGGCTATACAGCACTGTGAACATAATGATACTGAATTTTAGACTTAGAATGGTTAAAATGACAGCCTTCATGTTATATGTATTTTCCCCCAATACTGATTTTGAAAGTGGAGGCAGATGCTTAAGTTCTTTGAAGCCCACCAATGCATCTAAATATATAGTGGATCTGCAGGTCATTTTAACTTAGAATAAAGACTATCTGATGTAGATAGTACATCTCACTGGTCTCTGAGACTTTACTGACAGCACCAGTACCTTTCATTCCTTCAGGTAGATATTGGCTGTGAAGGATCATCAAAAAAATTGATGTTATACCTCCTGTGCAATCCTGAATAGTCATTCTAGTACTTCACTTTTGTTTTGTTTTGTGTTGTGTTTTGTTTTTTGAGACAGGCCTTCCAAGTACTGGGATTACAGCATACACCACTATGCACAGCAAGCACCTCATTTTTAATGTGAGGCCATCTGCCATGAATTGTTTTGAGTTGAGTCCTCCGCCAAAGTGAGACTAAATGGAGTTCTATTTTAATTTGGCCGCATCCTATTACATATGCAAATACTAAGAAAACTGCTATGTGATTATTTCATATAATTCCTATCAACTCATATGGCTTCTAATCATAAAACTTAACCAAAATATGGAATGACAACTCTCAGCAAAGTAAAATCTTCCTGGAAACAGCCTGTCTGTGCCACAACCACCTGTATTCCAAATATACAATCACATAATCAAAGTACAAAGTGACTGAGTTCAGTTTTCAAAGCATAGAGATAAATGGCATAGACAGAGCCAGACTCTATAAGTCTAAATAAAACCAGTCCCATGTTAGGTCTTTTCCAACATTGGTTATTTATAGAAAACTCTGCTGTCTACATTTATTAAAATAAGGTTTAATTAAAGACCCAGCCCTTCACTAAATAGAAAAGAGGAAGGAAGAGTTCCAATTCTCAAGGACTGGAAGGTAACAACCAAGAAAACTTTTCTAACTAATGCAATAATGAGATGCAAATCCATTCACAGTTTTAGGGGGTAGGAAAAGAGATGTACCTGAATCAAAACAGAGCTAAGATAAAAATACTAAGGCTTTGGGACTGTCTAGCTAAAATGCAACTGAGGGTTAAGGGAAACAGGTCTGATGGTCCACCTTCATTCTGACAAGTTCTGAAACTATCTGGGAACAGCACTGGATGCAGCACAATCCTGTGTTTTAGGGGAAAGAATTGAAAAAGCCTGTGGCATGTGGAAATCATCCCCTTTGTGAAGTTAGGCTAACAAAGAAGAGAGTGAAGAGTGTGTGGCACCCATGGCTTTTTAGGGAGAAGGTGTAGTTTATGCAAAGGGACTCGTGTGCGTGTGCGCGTGTGTGTGTGTGTATACTTATGCACCCTGGTTGGAGTATGGATTTGGGGCAGTGAATTTGCATTTATTTTATTTATTTTATTTATTATTTGCATTTGCCTTTAGAATTTCCTAGGTTCTCTCTTGAACGAAGTGTAGGTGCCTTGAGAACAAGATACCTACGGTGTTTAACAATTCTTAGCACATTTGCTCTGTTAAGAAATTTTTAACTCCAAAGTTAAAAGTTGGCTCAAGTGGTAAAGCACTTGCCTAGCAGGCAGGAGACCCTGAGTTCAATTCCCAGTACTGAAAAAAAAAGAAAGAGATGGCCAGGGGTGAGGAGGTCATGGAGAAAGCTGGGCATTATTTCATGTATCAAATAAAATAAACATACTCCTTGCTCTTCTAGGGCAAGTGAGAGCAACCTAGGATAGATGCTCAGTATGTAATTCTTGGTTCCTTTGATAAATTAAGCCTAATCACAAAATCTCTAGTTACACACATAGATACCTTTCTTTAAAGATATATTTATAGAGATTGCTTTTTTTAAAAATACTATTCAGACATCTTCATATATATAGATATATATGAATGTTTCTATAACAATGTTGTGTGTTTACTTATGACTGGGGGCATGGCTTAGGTGTTAGAGTGCCTGCCAAGCAAGTGCAAGGCCCTGAGTTCAAACCCCAGTACCATACACACACACACACACAAGTATTATATCTATATTTACTAATAGAGGAAAAGTGTTCCAGATTCTCACAAATCTTTCGAGATCCAATAAATTCTCTACAAAATACTGTGTAGGGTGGCACACTGTCTTTCAATTGTAAAAACAATGGCACTTAGTCTCCAAACAAGAAAACCAATTTAAAGATTTTCACTAAGCTAGAAACAGAATATCTAGCCACATTTTCATCTGATGTTAATTCACCTGCTCTGAATTACATAACAGATGAAATAAAAATTGGAAGGTTACTTTATTACAGTGGATTTTAAAGCACTGCACTTAAAAACTCCATTACAGAACGTTAATGTAGATCCAAGTACTTCAGAATGGTTTCATCAGTGTTTCTCAAAGAGTGGTACGCCCAGAAATAGCAAGAGAAACACCAGGAAGTTGTTAGAAGTGTATATTCTTACTTCAACTGTGTCCTATCAAATCAGAAATCTGTGCTTAACAAGCCCTCCAGTATAACTCTGATGCATACTGAAGCCTGAGACTGTTCTACAGACATGCTGAAAAAAAGTCTTTAACAAATGCTCGCATCTTATTGCATATTAATTAGGACAGGGCAGGCTCTTAGAGAACATATGGAACAACGTTCTTGAGTATTTTACAGATACGGAAACTACGGCAATTGGAGATTATCAAGGGCAATTGGAATTTGGAGCAAAGTGTGTTCCAGTGTAAAGCTGAGGTCCCCGGGACACACCACTGATGGCCAGCTATCATTTTGTGTGTCCGAAATCAAGTCCCACTTTTGAACTTGAAGGCCATTTCTACTTACAGATCCAGATGAACTGGCAGAACCAATCATATCAAAATGTGAAGCCAAAAATATTGAAGAAATTTTTGAGAGAGAAAAACCTTTATTATAGTGAATAAGAATTTTTTTTAATGGTCAGAAATATCAGGATCAACACCGGAATCAAACTTAAGCCAGTTCTCATAATTCCTTAACCACCCTGAAACTAGGAATTTTTCTCTCTTTTATTGGAAAAGCCCCTGTGAGAAGGGTAGCCTAGCTTTTCGCAGCAGTGCTGTGAGCTCAGGGTAGTGGTTAAGAACACAGGCCTTTCTATTTGCTAGTTGTAGAGTCTCTAGCCCTTAATTCTCAGTTTTTCCACCTCTTCAGAAGACTCTTTTTTTCTTTTGGCAGTGATGGGGTTTGAACTCAGGGCCTCACGCTTGCTAGGCAGGCACTCATACCACTTGAGCCACTCTGCCAGCAAGGTTCCTGAATTATATGCAGTCTTGTACATAACATTCTCACTCTAGTGTGAATGCTTTCTAAATGTTGACTGCTGCTCTCACCATCATTAATATTAGCAATAGTATTACCAAACCTACAGAGTGGACCATTTACACACTATCCTTCGTTTTTGGAAGAGGCACCTTCCAGAAAGAGGCAGAATGTCAGAAATATATTTCTATTAGTACTGGTGTGTCTTTACTGGTCTAGCCACACTGTCTCATCCTGATGCACACATGGGAATAAGGATGATAGTGCTACAGTAAGGGCAGCTAGGTATCTAAATGGAACCTCATGAACAATGTACTAAGGAGCAACCAGCCACCAAGTGATTTGGCCCCAAAACTTTGATGGTATTTCATTGATAGACACTTTTATGAAAGTAGTCTCACTTAAGGAAAACTTCAGAATATCTCAGAATAGCATGATAATCGTGGTGTGGATAGAAGTGTCCAGAGTTTACAGTTTTTCAGCTTCATGTGCTTAATGGCAAAAGCTTTGAGGAACACCTAAGAGGAAACAATGCCCTGTGATGTCTTCAACAATACTATCCCAGGGCTCAGATTCCTTACCCGGCTGTGAAACTTGGCAGTTCGATAAGACTTGGGCGACAGATTATAGACTGTGTAGTGGTCAAGATGTCTGGAATCCAAAAAGCTCCGAATGTCATCAACTTGATTTCTGAATCCTATGTCAACATTGTCCATAGGAAAGGACATCACTAGGAGAGGTTACACAGAAAGAAAACAACAGGTTAAAAAGGTCTGCAGCTGTGATAAGCAGCTTTTGAAGGTTGAGTGAAAGAACAGATAATAAACATAAGGAACTTACCAATAATTCTGGAGGTAACATAAGTGAAGTCTAAATCTCCCTTTGTGTAGCTAAAAACAAGACAGGAAAGAGTACTCATTAAAATGACCCAAGTATGCTAAGATTTCTCTCTCTCCATCATTGCACATCATGAACTGGCACCCTTCTGTCTGGCACGCGTACCTTGACTCTTCTCAAGCCCTTCTCTCTTAACAAGGTGGCTTCATTGAGAGAAGATGGCCCATATCCTAAGGGGTACAAATATACCACTCCAATTTGTGCATTCCTTACCCCATGGATGCCTCTTCTAGGACAATCTCAGAATAGCATCACTGCCCCTATTTATTAACACCGATTGTTGCAGCCTTTCTGCTTACATGGAAATCTCTCCTCTGGCTGTGAGCAGCTAAGAAGTTGGAGAAGAAGCGATTGAGAAAGAACAAATGACACCCTTTTTCTGTCTACCAAGATCCTGGCTGGGAATTGGAGAAAAGAGTAAATTTTGGCTTTGAAACAAGATTAAAATGTTAATATATTGGATTTGCACTTGAATTTCTGATTCAAAACCGCACATTGTAAGTTAAAGTAACCTTACAATTTTCTAATACTTAAGAATGAAAAATAATTCACATTTTTATAAGAATTTTCATACAGTGAAAGAGTAGAAGGCTTCTCCCACTAAATAAAATTTAAAGGATAAGGAGGACACAAAAAGTTCTGTTTTGATTACAGTACACACGTATTGCTTATTCAGATGGCACAGGCACCGTTAATCTCATTTAATCCTTGAACCACCCCAAGACACAAATCTTATCAGGGTATGAAAGCACAACTCAGAAAAAAATAATAAAAATAAAGCTCAGAGAATTAATTAACTTGCTTTAGGTTACATAGTTAATAATCACAGACATTTTATTGAAACCCCATTTTTTTACTGTAAAGGCAGGAATGGCAACCATCACACTCTAACGTACCAATCAGCTGAGTCTTCCTCCCCCCAACACACACAGGGTGTGCTTGCATGTTCTAAAGGACTCAACGTCACGGCTTTAGTGACATTTCTCAGTTGACCTGATCTCATACAATGAGACCATAATAATAATACTCTTTGAGTCAAATAACTTGAGTTGGCAAGCAACCAAATCCCTTGGGCACATGGGACCCCACTCACCTAACCAGGAAGGATATGCATACCTGGCAACAGATTGTATGACTCTAGAAGATGTGTCTTTGAGGGTGTCTTTCAAGTTGTCCTTTAGGTTACTAAAGAGCCTCCCTGCACCACCTTTTACCATGTCGAAGAGACCTCCCCCATAGCTAGGCTCCATGTCTGGAGACAAGGCACCTACCAAGAAAAAAAACAGAAAAGGCAGTGATAGCACAGGTCACACTGAGAACCAGTCCCCCGTCACTTCTAAAACACTCATGGGCCATCTTTGGGTGTCAGGGAGAGAGTCCTTGAAATTAGGTCCTACTCTCAGAGCTTATCGATTAAGTTATAGCAATGCTACCAGTCCTCAGAGACCAAGGTGAGTCCTCAGTGAATCCCAGGAATAGGTACCTGCAGGGCTGACTGCCAAATACTGTAGCCACTAGGCACGTGTGGCAATTGCACCCTGAAAATGCAATTAGGCCAAATTGAGACGTACCATAAGAATAAAAAAGAAACCAAATTTCAAAGCATTGGTGCAAAGGAAAAATAAGAATGGAAAACATCTCATTAACATTTTTACGTTGATTACATATTGAAATGATAGTATTTTAGAAATACCGAATTAAATAAATATTGAATTAAACTTCAATCAATTTCATCTGTTCCTTTAGCTTTTGTTAACAGGGGTACTATGTTGCTTAGGCTGGACTTGAACCCACCATCTTCTTGCCTCAGCTGGGACAAGAGGTATGTGCCACCACATCAGCTTTAGAAAATCTTAAATTGCCTACATGTCCTGCACTATACAACTTTCGGATAGTCCTGCTCCAGAGAGACTACCAAGGAAGGGCAGCAGGCAGCTCTAGTGAGTCCGGGGCCTCCTCTGCCCTTTGAGGGAGCTGACTGTTAGAAGCTTCATTTCATGACTGTCCCTCATGGCAATAGCTCACATCTGTCCTGGAAAAATACCTTCTGAAAGGCTTTGATAAGAGGCTATAGGGTGGCTACTGGTGCTATTTGCTAAATGTTTTAGGTTCTCTTCATCAAATTGTACTTCCTGGCCCCTATGGTTAGCTCCAGCGCAGGACTTCTCAGCCTGAGCACTACTGACACTTGGAGACAAATACGTCTTTGTCAGGTGGTAGGGGAGTGTCACCTGCGTCATAGGCTGTTTTTGTACTATCTGATTTCAGACATCCACTGGGGATTTGGAAAGTATCCCCTGCAGATATGGGGGTAGGAATACTCTATTTTGTGATGTGACTGGCTACTATGAAATGATGTATCTTTTATTATGCTCATTGGTCAGAAGCTGTTTTTAAAATGGCATTTCAGATGTCTGCTACATTTAAATGTTCATATAAATGCCTATAAATACATGTTGACTGTCGTATTCTTCCATCCTGATCACAAAAGCTATTGATACCTAAGATATCACTAGGCATCTATGCGAAAATGAGACTGTATTAGAAATTGCAAAGAATAACAGATGCTGGTGAGTAAACAAATGAATGGACACACTGACAAGCATTAACAGTGTCCATCACTTGCTAGGTTGTCTTTTGAGAGGAACCTTTCTTGGACTTTATGACAGTACAGTTTCTCATAGTTGGCAAGTGTTCATTATTTCCATCTTACAGATGAAGAAATGGAGGCTCCAAGAAGGGAAATGGCTCCTCAAATTGCTCAGCTAACCAAGAGAAGAGCCAGCAATCCAAACCCAGGTGTGTGCAACTCCAAAGCCCCAGCTAATCTACCGTTTCCCACTGTTCTACAACTCCACACCAGCTTATGATTCTAACAGCTGCAATCAGTCTGCCCTACTGTCTTAAACACAACTGCTCCTCTCCTAATCCTTGCTCTCCTCCTAGTAAGAACAGAACCACATAAAACATTTACAACTTCCCTATTTCCACTTCAAGTTACCACTACACCCAGAATATCCTTCTGATATGTCGTTGTTCTAAGAGATGACATCAAATAGATTATCCAGACATCTCTCTGACTATTAATTTCATGCTGGAACAGAACTCCAAGGCACCTATTAAAAGACATAAGTGTCCTTGATTATCTAAAAATCAGACTCTCAAGCCACATGATCTGCTTGTGAGAACCCTGGAATGCTGCAGAAACCAGAATAACTTGCCAGGATCTGTAACCCTCACACATACACAAACTATACGTCACACTAGCCAAGACACACACACACACACACACACACACACACACACACACAAAAGAGAAGAAGGGTGCTGTTTGATTTTGCCTTGAGTTTTACCTTTCAGGTACATATTCTGGCTTTTCCTGGTGAGCTGCAAAAGGCCAAAAGCACACATTCTGCAAAAAATACTATAGCCTCAGCTAGTTGAGAGAAAGGGCAAAGAGATTTCAAACCCTGACACAGCAAAAAGTGAAATGAAACAGTTAGAAAATGACAGCCGGATGCTCATGCCTGTAATCCTAGCTATTTGAGTGACAGAGTTCAGGAGAATCACAGTTTGAGGCCAGCCCAAGAAAAAAGTTAACTAGACCTCATCTCAACCAATAGTTGGGCGTGGTGGCACATTCCTGTTATATGTGATCATGACCCAAAAAAGTAAGACCTTTTTCCAAAACAACCAAAGCAAAAAAAGGGCTGGAACTGTGGCTCAAGAAGTATTCCTAGCAAGTGAAGCCCTGAGTTCAAACCCTAGTACCACCACCAAAAAAAAAAAGTGATATGCAGAAGAAAATAATTATTAAGCTACAGATGTGACTCAAGCAGTAGGGCATCTGCCTAGCAAGAGCAAAGTCTTCTGAGTTCAAGCGCCAGTACTACAAAAAAAAAAAAAAAAATGACCACAAGCCACAGAAGATCAGGGGTAATACAGTATGATACATGGAATCCAGTCCATTTCCTGTCTTTGTACAGTCTGTGAAATAACAATAGCTTCTACAATTTTAAATAAGGGAAAAATTCAAAAGAAGAATAACATTTCATAACATACGGTAATTATATAAAGGTTAAGTTTCAATGTCTAAAGTTTTTATTAGAATACAGGGCTGGGGGTGTAGCTCAGTAGTAGAGTGTTTGTCTAATGTGCACAAAGTCCTAAATTCAATCCCCAGCACTGTGAGAACAAACAAAAGAAGAACACAGCTGTACTTATGTGTTTGTCTTGTCAATGGTTGCTTCAGTCCAGCCATGGCAGAGAATAGTCACTGCAACACAGACCTATGGCCCACAGAGTCTAAAGTATTTACTATCTGACCCTTCACAGTCCCTGCAAAGATGGCATGCTTTGCATGCCACCTCCACCCTTTTCTAAATGCTCCAATAGGAAGCACACTTTCTGGGATTACCAAAGTGTCCTTGGGAATTTGAGAGTCTAAGAGGGTTGGGTGGGGAGGTCAGAGCATGAGGGTGCCATCTAAAGACAAAGGTCCAGGTCTCTGCCTCTCAGGCTCCAAGTAGATTCTTGTTCCATGCTGTCTTGTCATTTTGAAATCTAAGGCCACCAAAGACAAACATCAGAGGGTCACACTCTGCTCAGCCCATGGCTTTCCTAAGGCTGTAATAAACAAGTTTTCTGTGGAATTCCTAGAATTTAGGAGATGAGAAGCAGCCTCCTATCCCTTCAAAGTCATAGGACAGCCTGACTAGTTCTTACTCACAAAACTGGTGCAGGATTTCTGCCTCCATTAGACTGTTCACTGTTGACTCATTTATTATATCACACTTCATTCCACAAAAGATTTGAGGTGATTCAATAGTTATTTGGAAAACAGGTCTCTCAGAGGCCCAGTACAAATGCTCAGGCTGTTCTTAGCTGCTTTCATGTGCTTAGAAGGGTAGGAAAAGTAAGTGTGACTGCTCTCCATAAACCTTTCACTGATTTGTTTTGTGTAGGAAAGACACTGAGTACTGCGAAAGAGGAAGGAAAATGCTGGGTAATGCTCAGCAGTCCACAGTGCACAGTGTCATCACATGTACACTTCACTGCTGGTATGTCATGTGCCTGTCCCACCCTGGCTCAGTGCAATCCCACTGGTGACTCCTAAAAGGGACACTCCTCCATAAAGTGTTGTCATCAAAAGAAGGATGTTACAAAAAGATCTGGAAGAAAAATTATGTTCATCGAGGTATTATCTAGGATAGCAGAGGCTACAGATGATGTATTTTCCCAGAGGAAGGAAACTGGTGAAGTATTTCTAATAGTGCCATATAGCAACTTAATTGATTATAATTAGCTACTAAAGTTGCCTTGTAGAAGAGGTCAGATACCAATGACAATGGGCAAAATGGAAAATAAACAGAAGGCAAAACATATGCACAGTACAACCTAATTTTTGTAAAAGAAAAACATGTGAGTTTAGAGAAAGAAATCAGAAGTTACAATAAACATAAAAAACAATGACCAAACTTACCAAAGTCCTCCTCAGTGCAAGGCACTGATCTAACTTTTTCATATGCAGTAACACATTTACTTTTCAGCACTCTAGGAAGGCAACACCATTGCTCTCCCCATCCACACAGGGGAAAATGGAAGCCAAGACCCTCATGACTCCCCCGGATCTGGTAAACAAGGATTTGTAGCCAGGCAAGTCACGCCAGAGTCCAGGATTTTATCTACTACATTTCAAATTAGTTACAACAACTACATCTAATTATATATGGAAAAATGATGAGTGATTTTTATTTGTTTGTGTGACTGCTTTATCTAAATTTTCTGCAACTTACCATCTTTAGTTTTGTAATTTAAAATGTTATACAAAATAAGGACAACAACCAGATGCTATGCCATTAATATTCCATGTCTCCATCCTCAACCACTGTGGGGCCTCCCTCCTCTTGTAAGACTCATCATAGCTTACAGTCATCCAGGTTTCGCATCCTTGGCTATGAGGAGGCAAAATGCTACCCACAAGCCTTCTAGTAGCCCTGCAGTTTTGTAAGTCCAAGCAGACTCAGACTGGCCAGGCATATCCTTCTGCAGTTGACTCATTCCAAGTCCTGATAGCCTGCTTCACTGTGGTGATAACTCACTCAAGGCAGATGTAAATACTCGGGATAATCCAGGACATTAAGGACAGGAAGCAGAGGACTCTTGGCAACAATCCCAGTTCTTGGGACCTCAGCCTTCCTCAGCGGGTCCTCTGGGCCTCCACAAAAATACTTCCACACATCACTTTTCCTCTTTCCAGAAAGTCTT